CCTCAACAAACAACAAACACTGAACAAGATAGTTCTTGTGTGGTTAACGGCTGAAACCATGAACAATTTGGGGTCATAAAGGTGTTTTTACTTAACCACTGCTACTGTTATCCTAGCTCTCTGCTCTGGTAAGTAAAAAAACATCCTCTTTTGTTTTGCTGATCCATTTTAGGAAGTACTGCGACATTAAATGGCCAATACAATCTTATAATTCAGTGTTTAGTGCTTAAGAGGGTTTGGCTTATTTGAAGCTAATCAGAATCAGAAACAGGTTTATCACCAGGTAGGTTGACACGTACGAGGAATTTGACTTGGTGTCATGGTTCATACAGTAACAGTAAAAAAAAACTTTAAAAAAACGAACTAACTATTTAAGGGAACACTATAATAACATTAAAAAAATACTAAAAAATATAGTAAAATATAGAATTAAAATAAAGCAGTATTAATATTGAAATAGAGTGTAATAAAATATAAAATATGTGCAGTAAAAAAAACAGATATTGTAAACATTGTGTGTGTGGGGGAAACTTCTGAAGCAATTGGAAACAGGACTCAGAGAGACACGATGGAGAGCTGGAGCTTTGATGGCAAACACTGACGGTTTATTTGGAGCTTCGGCCGGAGAATTCACAAGACATGTCACGGGCCACGGTCTGACCACACGTCAGAGATGCCACAATCAATTCTGAAGCACCCTCCTGTAGCTCCAGGTTTGAACTAGTTCAGAGTGTAGTAATCAACATTCTTCAATAGATAGACTAAACAGCTGAGGACACTGGAACACATTTGTTGTCGCTTATGGCTCGAGGTCATCTACACCCCGAGAAGGATGTGTTCCAGGTGTCCCACAACAATAACTATCTCTGACTGAGAGTTGCCCGGTCACAAACTGGTAACATCAACAAAATGCTAGGGCAGCCCCTCCTTAAGGGAGATAGCAGCTGCCCAAGGCTGGGCATCTGCGTCAGAGGGCGAGAGGTAAACATGTATACAGAATTATTCCCTGGCAGTGTGCATAAAAGTACTTGTATGATTCATTAACCTTCTTATTCCTGCACCTGGAGAAGCATCTCAGTAATTGTTATGTAATCTGCTGCATTCATTTGTGTGGAATGTGTGTTATATAGAAGTAAAAGCTCGGCATGGAGGTCTGATCACGGTGTGAGGCAAAGGTCGGAAAGGTAACACGAAAGAGGCTGCATACTATGCACATTCAATTAAAAAGCAGCGATCGCTAAATGTACTGCAGGTTCATACTGAGCGCTACAGTAAATGCCCCACTGAGCTCTATAAGCCCAACCAGGAACATCATATGGTTCATTATGCTCTATACGATGTTGCTAAGTAGACATGGTTTTCCTTAGGCTAAGGACTTTTTCTAAGCAGAAGAATCACTGTGCAATCGATAAGAACATTGTGCCGTTGGACGCAGTAAACTCCCTCTTGTTGTAGCAATTATAGTAATAATAATAATAACAATACATTACATTTGTATAGCGCCTTTCAAGGTGAACAAACAAACAAACAAAAGGGGCAAATAATGAAGTAAAACATTGAATAAATAGCAGTAGGAGTGGAAGCAGGGGGACTGTGATGGGTTAGGGGTCAAAGGCCATGGTGAACAGGTTAATTTATGTGGCAAATGGGTTTTTTTCATGGCTTTTACCAAACAATATTTCAAAGAAAACAACATTTTCACAAATAACAAGCCCTTAGGTTTTAGTAATTAGTCAAAGTTTCTCTGAGAGATGCATATTTGAGGGAGAATGTACCCTTTACTACTGGGTCCATAAAATGACATTTACAGTCATCAGTTATATAATAGTCGGAGGCGTGTGGCGCAGTGGGACTAGTGCGTTGGTGTTGGGATCAGGGGAGCACAGGTTCAAACCCCACTGCAGTCAGCATGTCGTTGTGTCCCTGGGCAAGACACTTCACCCCAAATTGCTCCTGTGGGGATTGTCCACAGTATTGAGTATGTAAGTCGCTTTGGATAAAAGCGTCTAACAAGTAACATGTAATAAGATAAACCTTTATGTGATATTAGAAACATGCAGGTGTCTTAGCAGCAACCAGATGAGGGAAGTAAATGTACTATACTTTAGTATAATTTTGAGCTATATTACACTTGAGTTTTTCCATTTTATGCTACGTTGTACTTCTACTCCACTACAGTTCAGAGGTACATGGTGTACTTTTACTCCACTACATGTATTTAATACCTTTAGTTACTTTACAGATGTGGATGAATGATGTGAAATATAATCAAGTGTTAAATCAGACTTTAGTTCCACCTGGAGTAAATTCACAAGCTACTCTGTAGTATACAAAGTCATTCAAACTAGCTGCACCTTTACCAGCTTTGAGAACACTTTCATGATCAATCATTATAAAACATATAACAATGAGAATAACAATGATTGCTGACCTGCAGACAGAATAAATGAAACCAAGCAGGTCTCCATCTGAAGCTGTAGTGGAGGCAAAAGGTAAAAAGGGGGGATTATTTTGTATCCTTGTTGTGTGTTATAAATGCTTCTTTTGTTTCAGTTCATTGCATTTCATTGTGTACTATACTTGTTGTTCTCAGCAGTCCTTTAATTGACTGTTTCCAGTAGAGAGACTTCCAATAACTACTTTCCCTTTTAAAAATGCAAAGTGCAAGACATAACATATTATTCTGAAATGGACTGATCTGCATAACGAGTACTTTTACTTTTGATACTTTAAGTATTTGTTGATGCCAATGCTTTTGTACTTTTACTTGGGAAACATTTTGACTTGTAACAGAGTATTCCTACACTCTAGTACTTCTACTCAAGTACAATAACTGAGTACTTCTCCCATTTCTGGCAGCAACAGTAACAAGGGTGAAACACAGGATAGGACATATATACAGATATCATCAATCAATCAATGTTTATTTATATAGCCCAATATCACAAATGTTATATTTGTCTCAGTGGACTTCACAGTTTGTAGTCCAGGACTCCGGATCCAGGACTCAGGACTCAGGATCCAGGACTCAGGACTAAGGATCCAGGACTCAGGACTAAAGATCCAGGACTCAGGATCCAGGACTCCGGATCCAGGACTCAGGACTCAGGATCCAGGACTCAGGATCCAGGACTTAGGACTAAGGATCCAGGACTCAGGATCCAGGACTTAGGACTAAGGATCCAGGACTCAGGATCCAGGACTCAGGATCCAGGACACATGATTCAGGATCCAGGACACAGGACCGCAGCAACAGGATCAGCCACGACTCAGGATCCCGGCATAGATAGACACCAAAAAGAAATTTGGGGGAAGCTGGGTTATTGGGAACATGAGAGTACACAGGTACAGACAGAGAGAAGGAAGAAGTAAGGTGTCCCCCGACAGTCTAAGCCTATAGCAGCAAAACTAACGTGTCTACGTACATGGACTCCCTTAGGATAGGTTGAGGGAAAGGGGTAGCAAGTAAGAAGTAAGGAACAGAGGTGGAGAGGCACAACGTGTCTACGTACATGGACTCCCTTAGGATAGGTTGAGGGAAAGGGGTAGCAAGTAACAATTAAGAAGTAAGATATGTTTAGTTATGAGTTAAATATATAAACATCTCAATTTGGATCTGCCAGCCCAACTATTGAGTGTCCGTGGAGCGATGAGTCTGATGAGCAAACTAACATTGGGGTGAGAATACACACACTTTCCACAAACAGCTGAAACTCAGAGTGAGAATAACAGTGGTATGTTTTCCGCTTCGTTACGATACTTTAAATTGGGTGTATTATACATATACTTTCATATTAATTGTTGGTGTATTTTGTCGTACAATGTGCAGACTTCTTACTTTAACTGCTCTACGTTGATATAACAATGGAGCAACTGTTAAATGAAATGTTACAAAAGGTTCATTAGTTTGCTGGCAGCGGGGGAGGAAAACACTAAGAAATACATTGCATTTTTCTATTTGTCTTACACTTTGCACTTATTAAAGGGAAAGTAGTCTTTGAAAGTCTCTCTACTGGAAACAGTAAATTAAAGGACTGCTGAGAACAACAAGTAGTACACATTTAAGGCATTTAACTGGAACAAAAGAAGCATTTATAACACACACAAGGATACAAAATAATCCCCCCTTTTACCTTTTGTCCTTCTCTACAGCTTCAGATGGTGACCTGCTTGGTTTCATTTATTCTGTCTGCAGGTCAGCAATCATTCTCTGTAAACACAGGAGGGCACACACTCACATGGCGCTGGCTTCTATATGAGGCTCTGTAAGAGTTTCACATCTGAAGTGGTATTTGACAATTCTCAAGCAAAAAGATTTGTTTTTGCAGTTCAGAATATCACACTTTAATAATAATAATAATAATAAAGACATAATAGTAATATAACAATATGTTTTATTATTATTTATAAACTAAATCCATTACTTTTCCTTTATAATTATGAAGAGATTTGTCACATTTTTCATGGGCGCGCCACCACATCCTCAGCGATGAGGCTCATCCCACAAATGCTTGTTCCTCACAAATGTGGTACCATTGGAAAGGTAAGAAAACAGGCTTTCCAACGGTGTAAGAGTTATATCCAAGAAGCAGCAAATAATCTACCAAACACAAATGTCCTTACTTTTTGTGTTAGGTTTATAAATAATGCTCTAATGCTGCTAATAAGTTCACTTTTACATGCTTCAGCTGCGAACAATCAGGCCCCATAATGATTGAAAATTGTACTCCCCGTTGTTCAGCACTACTAAGTGCAGCAGGGAGGAGGACAAAAGAAACAACTGAACAGAGAAAGCACTACAACAAAGTTAAGAGCTGCACATAGTGATTATTTCTTTAAACGCATCGTGACGAAGAAAGAGCGACCTTCACTCAATACAGCACAACTTTATCAACAGTCTTTGTGTGATGAGAAAATAGCAGAAAAAGACATGTTTATTTACTGCCTTTATATATACAGTCTATGGTTCACTGCCATTTATTCTTTAAAGGAGCAAGGAGTTCATTTTAAGAGAATGTTTAATGTCAAAGTAATCAATCATCGTGAACTCAGTGGGGTTAAAACATGTTTCCATTGGTTACAGTAATGTGAAATGTACCCCTTAAACAAATTATAATGATTATACAGCTGGAGGTTGGGGTTTATGGTTTGTTAAACAGTATTTCGGTGGAATACAGCTCCCAGTATCTCTGATTCAGAAAACATCAGAATCTCAAACAGACACGGCTATGGAGTGTTATTTTTCTTTCTTTGTACAACACAGCATCCACATGTAACACAAAACAGATACATAAATAACAACAAGTCTAACTAAATGAATCCCTTCCTTTAACCTTGTGAATTTCCGCACACTTCAAACCCCAAGAGTGATTTTTGAATTAACGTTCCCCAGATAGGGAATTTAGGTATAACATTTGTAATGTTGGTACATCTGACTAAGGAGGAATGAGGGCATATATTATGGTGTGACAATGGCAACATTCAAATAATATTAAGCATTATTCTGATAATGAAGTAACAGTTGATACATTATTGATTGATAACACGACATTTGGAGGAGGAAGAAGAACAACAAGAATTACAAGAACAACCAGAACAAGAGATGCTTTTCTGAAGCAGTTTGCAAAACAGGTCAAAATAATGTTTTGGAGTTTCCTTAACAATAGTGATGTCAGTTAGTTTTTAGGTCAGAGCTATGAAACATGTGATCGTCTCCTGCCCTCAGGCGTGCGACTTGTTACTCCTTCATTGCATCAGAACAGCTGTAGTCATTAGACCTTACAGTATAGGCACTAATAGACACTTTAATATAAAAATAAACGTTGGTTTCCTATCTCCATTTCAAGCCTGGATGTTCTTATTGAAGGCACGTTCTACACAAGGAATTTATTCTAAATGACATTTTCAAATATTTAACCTGATATGAAGACAACATGTAATTTGATAACATTGAAAACAGTGAATGTTAGCAACTGTAGGAAGTGAATTTAAATAAAAATTGTGCTTTGATCAAAGACTATACATTCACAGTGATTACAAACATATAGTCAGTCACTTGAAGGTAAGGTCACTTGAAGGTGCAACATCACAACTAGGGAGTGTGATAATAAAAATAGAACAGATCCCCACAGCTCGTAACAGTCATATTTCACAGAAGGTGCAACTCTCCAACACATAAATCCTTTCTAAAGTTATTTTCCAAGCGGCCTAAGCCACGTCAGCTCACATCATAAATATGTAACAAACCTTAAAAAACGGACATGCACATAATGTGAATGTAATAAGTCAATCTTTCGGCTGGGCGGGTCTGAAGTAGAGTAGTAAGTACACTGGAGTAGATTGAGGTTTCATTGCTGCTCTGCGCTCTTCACCCTGCAGGCCACGGCGGTGATCAGAGCCGCTCCCTTCCCACTCCCATCCTCTGACTTGTGGAAGGTCACCTGACACTGAGGGGCCAGATCCTGCAGCGTCTCCTGCATGATGCTGGAGAAACTTTAATGAGAGAGGAGAGGAGAAAGAGAAGAATCAGAGATGAGCAAGAGTTACAGTACAAGAACATCTCCCTCTCTATTATGTAAAGCAAACTTGGTACAAAAATCAGAATAAGAAATAATGTATTCATCCCTTGGGGGGGGATCGGATTTCGTAAAGGTTTCTCCATTTTACAGTAAATTAAGGTCACCTATCATGCTATTTGTAGGCAATAGCATAGGTCTCAGATATATACAAATATATAAAAAACATGTCTATGAAGTGTTTGGCTCAAAATACCAAACAGATCATCCATTCTAGCCATGCCTCATATCCCTCTATTTCACTTCCTGTTTCTAAAGTGCTGATTTGGGGTATAAAGCTTTAAAAACAAATTGATACAAATAAAAAAGGAGGGGGCTGAGCTCATGCGGGACCCGGCAGCTACTGTCTAAACCAGAGGTCTCCAACCTTTCTTCTTCTGAGAGCTACTTTGAAAAAATGAAAGTGGCCAAGAGCTACTTGCATCACATCGCTTGCATTTATTCACATAGCCCTCATCAGTTGAATTAAGCTATATTTTTGTACACGTGTGAAATTGCAATACCTAAAGCTTATCAAAAATCTTAACTTCACATCAAGGTCCAAGAAAACGAAGATTTCTCACATATTATTATGGCCCACAAAATAAGTACATCACTTAACATTCACATAAGTGTCCTTAATCACCACCTTACAAGCATTTCACTCTTTTGTTAGTGAGATGAATGGCACTGCATGCAGTCCACCATACAGGTGTCTGCTGGAGTGGACCCACTTAGGTTCACTCTAATAGAGTCATTTAAATGTTCATCAGTCAGTATTGTTCTGTATTTAGATTTCATTCATGTCAGAAAAAGCTGCTTCACAAAGGCATGTAGAACAGAACCAAATAAAGCAGACATTTTCAGTGCTGCTTGGTGAATGTTCTATAGTTTTTGGTGTCTACAAGGATCCAGAAATGTTGTGAGTTTTGCTGAGACTTAAGCTGAACATGATTTTGGAGATCTCCACAGGATTGACACTGAACAGTTGTTCAGCCATCTTTTTCTTCTTCTTCTTCGTCTTGACATTAAATTATAAACCATAATAAATCAAGTGTATAGGTCTAGCCTCCCTATATCTGTGTGTGAAAATGGTTCCATCCTCAAAAACAAAAAACGAATACTTCTGCAGTCTAGCTGCAGCTTCTAGCAACGGTCTACTGTTAAAAAAAAGACACTGAATGTCTTGAATGTGGCATCACACACATGACTTAAGTCTGAACACAGCAGACAACAGGAGTATTTACAATAGCATATACAAACAAAAATAGTGCATGTGGGTGCACACTTACATTCTCTGTCTTACTGTTACATAAATCCCATGAATGTATGAGATTAAGTTAGCTTCATCATATCTCAATCAGTGATTAAGTGAATAATAAAGTTTCTATCCGGTCACTATCAGCCTGTCACTCATTATTTTCAGGGAGGGGGCGGGGTTTGGAGGAACAGAGGAGACGGTGATCGCGCAAGCTTTCCTCCTGCCTTCACAAACTTTACACAAGTATTTATCAACTGAAAATAGCAAGAGGACATTCATACTCTGCAATCCAAGACTTGATTAAATCCACCAAAAACCTGACATGACGATAACGAGTGTTTTTCAAAAAACACAAATCCCTCCCTTTGTGTCTCTGAGCCGCAGCGACAGGGCCTGATTCAGAGCGGGTCATTCTGCTGTTGGTTCTGGACTGGTGTTGGTGGAGAAAGCAGACTGCTCCGTGTGTGTTGTCGCTGTGCTGCTGTCACGTCTGTTCCTTGATCTCTGCGTCACCGACCATTTGATATTCGTGTGACAGAAAAAATTCTAAAATAAAAAAACGTTATTGTCCAGCCGCGGCCGAAAAATCAATAAGCAACCTTACTACGCTGTAATCGATAATCGAGCGGCAAGCTACTGAAAAGCTGCCCGTGAGCTACCGGTAGCTCGCGATCGATGTGTTGGAGAGCCCTGGTCTAAACTAAATGCTGCCGTGATGAAACGCCATATCATGGATTATCAAGTATTATCTCTGAAACAGTATGGAGCTCAAAGGCTTTCTCTCTTGCCGGTTATACCACAAGGTGAGTTCCTTTTTATTTCCTGCTTCTTCACACACATGCTCTGCAGTACAGGTTAGCTCTGAGTGTTAGCGATGCTAATGTAAACACCGACCATATTACGTCCAAAACAGTCGGGCATTGTTTCTGATAGCAACGTTTCTGATAGGTCCGTGGGTGTAAAGCCAGCCTACATTTCCGATATTACGTCATATCGGACGCAAATCTGGATCAGCTCCGTTGTAGCCCCGTTTTTAGAGATTTGGGTACGGAGGAAAAAAGAGGGTTTTATTTTCTGACGCTGCGTGAGTTCCCCGACACACCGGGGACACATATTTATGTATAAAAGACATCAAAAAGTGCATTTTGCATGATAGGTCCCCTTTAATGTTAATCCTTTCCTTGATTTGATTTCTATATGTTCTTATATAGCTGAACTCCTCCATCGCTACACCCCAGCCAGAGCTTTAAGGTCTGCTGACCAGCTGCTGCTGATAGTGCCCAAGACCAGGCTCAAAACCCGAGGGCACCGAGCCTTCGCAGCAGCTGGCCCGAGGCTCTGGAACACTCTGCCCCTCCATGTGAGGTCGGCCCAGACCCTAGGGGTTTTTAAATCTACTCTTAAGACACACTTCTTCTCCCTGGCCTTTTAATCAGGGCGGAGCACGACTCCTGACTTTTTCCTGTGTTTTTTTTTATATATCTGTTGTAATTTATTGTCTTTTATTGTGATTGTAGTAATGTGTTTTTATGATTGTAGTATTTATTACATGTACAGCACTTTGGCCCGACCAAAAATCGCTTTTAAATGTGCTTTATAAATAAACTTTGATTTGATTTGATTTGATATTCTTCAAATCGCCCAGCCCTACTTGTGATGCTCCTCAAAGTTTAACTCCAGTCTTTAGTCATGCTCCTTACTGAGGGTGGGTCTTATAGAGCGTGCCGTCCACTCCCACGGTGATGGAGAGCTGGTTCAGGTTGCGGTTCTGTCGGATCTTGTCGACCACGGCGGCCAACCCGGCGCCACAGAGCTGCGCCGCCCTGCGGGACACCACACTGCACACCTCCTTCACCAACACGCTGTCGTCACAGGTGGAGATGGTGAGGCCCAGGTGCTGCAGGATGGAGCGCACCTGACGCATGGCCAGGCGGTCGCTGAGGGGCAGAGAGTCACGGTTAGACACGGGAGAGAAAGATAACACACAAGTCAACACATATTGACTTGCTGGTACTTACTTACTATACCTATCTATCCATCCATCTATCCACCCACCTACCTACCTACCTACCTACCCACCTACCCACCTACGCACCTACCTATCTCTCTATCTATCTCTCTATCTATCTATCTCTCTATCTATCTATCTATCTATCTATCCATCATCAGAATATCACACTTGAATAATAATAATAATAATAATAAAGACATAATAGTAATAATAACAATATTTTGTATTATTATTTATAAACTAACTTCATTACTTTTTCATTATAATTATTTGTATTATTATTAGTATTATTTTTTATTTGATTATATATATTTATAGGATTGAAAAAGCAGGATTGTAATTAAAAAAGTGTACATAAACTGGGTTTAAAATAGCATTTTAATCTGATATAATTATTCAAAAGCATGCTAGTTTACATGCTAGCAGCCCTATTGAATACTTCCTAATTATTATTATTATTATTATTATTATATACACCATGGTTATACACGTGAGAAAGATAACAAACATTTACTTCAAAACACTGTTAAACTAAACGTATTCAAACTTTTCTTTTGCATTATTCAGAGCTTTCCTGTTGATAGTGTAAAAGCTGCAATAACACTTTTAATAGTAAACATCAGTAATAAAAGGCAAATTCATAGTTATTTTACTTTTCTACAGTTTTCTAGCTGACGATTTGATCCATCCATCCAGATGTATATATAATATCCTGCATTATATTGTGTTACTATACATTTGTATTTCCACATGTATATTTTTTAACTTTTTAATACTATTTTAGACATATTTATTTTGGATTGTTTTTTTCTAGTGTCTTAATTTCTCTGACGTACAGTACATTGCCTTGTCTTTTATGCTGCTGCAATGCAAACATTTCCCAAATTTGGATCAATAAAGTACTATTGGCCCAACTATAAGAGACTTATCTCTCAAAACAATAATAATAATAATAATACTACAACATAATTATTACTATTATAACAATAATGAAAATAATAACAATTTGATCCAAAGCAATACTTATAATAATAATAAAAATAACAATAGTTTAATTTATATAGCGATTTTCTAGACACGCGAAGTAACTTTAGAAAAAACATTTCAAACAAACAAAGATCAACTGAAGGGAATTGGGAAAAATACAAAGACGCTATAGAACAGAAAGCGTGGTGGAGTGATGACGTGGTGGAAAGAGCAACCTACAATAAGTGCAACCAACCATTGAAGAGTCACACAAAGAGTACACTTCAGTGCCGGCACATAAGCTTCAAATAGACACCGTTTAAAGTTGAGTCACACAGAAATGACTGATATTTGAATTATTGCTTTTTTCCTTGAGATGTTATTGTCCAAGGTGCAGCCAAGTAGCTTTGTGTAAGACACTCAAGATTCTGCGTGTGTGAGACTTGTGGAGTTTTAAAAGCACTATGTATCCGGAAAGGTAGGAAGGCTCTTAATAAATACAGTCCATTAACCATGACGCTGCACGCCTTCACCTACAAAGAGCATCTTGAACGGAGAAATGGTTTGCCAGTTCCCAGAATGCAATTAAAGCGCCTCTGGATAAAAGCGGCAGCTACATTTAACAAAAATATCTAAAAGGGAAAAAGTTGTGTGTGTGTGCTTCCATGTCTTGACATTGCTTGGACTCAACTAAGTAAGATAAAGTATTTTTTCTAGTAAACTAATAGCGAACCTATAGGCATTAGATTAGGCCAAAACAAGTAGTATGATGTCAGCAAATGTTATATCGGCAAAAATCCAATAATGTGCAAAGAGATATAACATTTTGCGTCCTTAAAGGCACTTTAACCTGCTGACCGTGGCGAGCGGACGCAACATCCGATCACTGTGATAGTTACAATTACAACCCTAATGTAAACCCAATGTACTCAAGGAAGGCAGAAACCACGTAAATGAGTGATTATCGAAGCTAAATGGCAGTATCATGGGTGATCGGCTAAGGGACGGGACGTCACTAAGCGTTTGACCAATCACAACAGAGCTGGCGAGGGTGAAAAGAGGTGCTGCAGCACAGGCAGTATGAGAAAAATAAAGAACCTTATGAACATTAAAGCATGGAAACATGTCACAGTAGAGACATTAAATACAAATATGAACCAGGAAATTAGCATAATATGCCATCTTTAACTAATCCAAAGAGGATAATAAAACATTCTACGACAACATAATGCAAGTTTTGTCCCTGGCAGGGAGGTATCCACTTGATAAGATGGACTCCCAGATATCCCTCTTGATTTCTGACCCTTAGCGACAACTTTTCTCCTGGTATTATCTGAATTAGAGTAGGTTTTATGACTCACTATCAGCCCAGTATCAGAGTCATATTTGGGCACAGCTAAGCCCAAGCACAAAGAAAGGGCCTGTCTAATCATACAGGGAGAAGCAGCTCTCCTAAGTCTGTTTGCCTTTGCTTGGGAAGAGAGGAGGGAGAGGAGAGGTAAAAGCTTAATTTATAAAACTGAGGGCCAAATAAATAAAACCCCTAGAAGCTCAAACAACCGTGAATATTTGACTAAACTGATCTCATCTGGCAGCTTTGGCACATCACTGAAGCCCAGTTTTTGTTTGGTTGATTGTATGATTTAACTGTTCTGTACACAGTGTGGTCTGTAATACTCACCTCTCAATTTGTGCAAGGAACTTTGTCTCGAAGATGCCGTGGGTCTTGAGGCGCTCAGAAAGCTTTCCTCTGAACAGCAGGCCTTTTGAGGTGAAATCAATGAGCACATTCCTCACTATCTCCCCCAGGTACATGCCACTGATCATCTTCTCATACCTTAAGAGGAAAACAAACATTGGTTACATTCATTTTAAAGGTCACCTATTAGGCAAAATCCACTTTTCTAAAGTCCCTTCTGTGGAAAGAGATTCTGAAAGTTTCAGGAAAAAAGATTCTCTCTCTTTTTGTCTTGATCCATTTATATAAAAACCTGTCTGAAAATGAGCTGATCAGATTTTGGCCACTTTATGATGTCATGATGTTTTGGCTTGTGTAACCATTAGCCAATCACCAACCAAGGTAACCCCACCCCCCACCTTATCACCTGAATCTCCTCCTAGAGCACCATTGTGTTCTTTGTAACCAAATATCTCTCAGAGGGGCGTGGGGAGGGGCTCCTTATTTTCATCTAAAGTAACAGACAGAGAATCAGCACTTTTGAAACAGGGCTGAAACAGAGGGGATTATGGGATGCTGCAATGATCTGTTTGGTGTTTCAGCCAATCAGAGACATGTTCTGTATATATCTGAGACCTATAATGTATTGATGAAAAACAGTATAATAGGGGACCTCAAATATCTTCTACCATTTCTGTATAAAATAAACCTTTATTTTACTGTACTTGTCACAAACCCTATAAGGAATTCCGTTGAAACTGTTCCAACTTTAATTTCATGCTTGAAAGCTCAGAGAGGAAACAGAGACATACTGGCAGCCCTGTTGTGACAGACATTGTTTTCATTTGAATAAATTACCAAGAGGTGGCTCCAATCAGAGAGTCCAGACGAAGAAAAACATTGAATTAATACAAGCAGCTGCTCTTATTCATAATAATATGCTTCTTCATTCCATCAATCAATGCAAACAAAAGACACAATGTCTGCACGGCCTCTTAAGGTGGAATAAATTAGAAAAAGCTGCAATCCTGGCCAGTGTTATCATCGCCTCTAATTAGTTTATTCTCTACCATGAGTTAATGACATTCAGAGTGGAATCCTGAGAAGCCAGTCTTGTTGGGAAGGGACATAAATATGCTGCTAGGTGCGGATTCAGTGCCTATTTTTATTTCTTTACTTTCCTGAAAATGCTGATGTCCTATCCTGTCAATCAATCAATCAATCAAATGTTATTCATACAGCCAGTGTTTCCCCTACCATTGTCTTGGGGGGGCGCTGCGCCACCCCAACCGAGCCCCCCCTGAAATTCAAGGTGTTTTTTTCATTTTTAATTACATTTTACATTTTGTATATATATATATATAGCGCCAAATCGCAACTGAAGTAATCTATCTACGGTCACTTTTCGCATTGAACATGTGCTCTTTTATTAAACAAACTAAACGCTTATGTTATTTATCCAATGTATGTGCATGTTTCAGTGACCACTGCATTGCTTTGCGCTCTCCACACACACATACCAATGCACACACTCACAATCGGAGACAAGAGCGGAGGAAAGGAGGAGAACAACAAAGTGAAAAAAGTAAAACTAGTCTGCATTATAGCCCCGAGCTCTGCTGTTGGTCATGTAAATCCTGGGCGCGAACACGAACGTAGCGTGCACATATTAATGCATATAAATATATAAATGATTGAGGTGGCATCAGGATTTTCAAAGGGTCCATTTGAACTTATTTCTCTGCACTAGCAATTCTGCTCCTCACGGTGAAACTGTTATTCAACTAAACACCGGAGCACTCTTGAAACTAATCAGGTAACATTACTTTTCTATTGTGATACTCAGATTATACAAAATACATTATTCAACTAACCCTAACCCAAGGCTGATGTTCTGAGACCGGCATTGCAGAAAATAAAGTATATACCTTTGTCTGATTATGTAAAATATACATTTAAAAAAATTGATTATAATATAAGGAAAGGAGGGTTTAAAAGGAGCTTAGTTTATTTTCCAATCAGCCAACCTGAGATCTGCTGCACATTGAAACTATATAAGGCGTGTTGCCATAGGGACAGAGAGGGTTTCTTTCTGTCTTCTGGGTTTGAACCGAGTTCATTTTGTACAGTATTGCTCCCTTTGATCCCCTGCACACACTGTGCAGTTGGAACAGTGTGCACAGTGTGTTTGTTTACAGAGAGAAACTAAATTGCTATGTCTGTGTAAATGCATTTTCCTTGAAATGTTGTTTTACCGTTATATTGTCCACTAATTAAGTGACCTTGGGAAGCATACTGAACCAATTGATCCGAGAGCTATGCCTGTATCCATTTAGTACAATGTGGACATGAATCGCAAGAAGATGAATCGCTCACTCACCGGAAAACCCAACTGTTTGGACCTGCACCTAGGCCATTATGGTTTAAATAAAGGATGCAGCACTTTAAAAGGTGCTCATATGAAGCTGACGTTCTTGTATGAATGCGTATCCTTGTGGTTGAATGCACTTAATGTAAGTCAATTTGGATAAAAGCATGAGCTAGATGAATTGTAATGCATTATAAAAGGTAATAATGTAGACAAAAAAATAAGCAATACCAACATTTTTAAAGCTAGATCAAGGGATAGCAATGTTAGCTTCACTACTACAACCGTATTAGATGATGTAGTGTCACTAACTTTAAGAGATGAATATGGTGTTTGCATATGTTGTTTTTTCTGTGTGAACAATGGGTGTCATTGTTGAAGTATTCTGGGCTAAAGCACATCACAAAGTCACTCCAGAGTTGGACTTCTCCTTAGATTTCATTCCTTATGAAAGGAATAAAGTGCACTTGCAACTTTTAAAATTGCTGTACAATTATTTGAACACAGCTATGACTTATAGGACTCAAGCTGTTATCTGTCGCTAGCTTTAATGTCTGTCCCTCTGTCCTACTGTATTTGTGACTTCATGTGATGCTGTTTGATTTAAGTGTTGGCACTTTGTGGTTGCTTTTTCACGGAGAGAAAGGCGATTTAATATGTCGAAAATTAACCATTCAATACCTCCGTTTGTCCCTATTAGCACTACACCCCTGTCAGACGAGACATATACCACGTGATGACACGTTAGGCTCGTGTTGTGGTCCTTCAAGGTCCCTGACCCTTGAAGGACAGGGCGAGTGCCGTTTTTCCTGGCGAGTGCCAGGAAAAACGGCACTCGCTTGTTCAATTCTTTTGCGGTCTAGATTTCTTTAATTCTTTTTTATTTGCGTGTGTTTATAAATTACCTCGAGGGCTGTATCAAATGGTCTCGCGGACCGTATACGGCCCGGAGGTTCCCCACCCCTGAGCTAGATGAATTGTAATGCATTATAAAAGGTAATAATGTAGACAAAAAAATAAGCATTACCAACATAAAGCTAGATCAAGGGATAGCAATGTTAGCTTCACTACTACAACCGTATTAGATGATGTAGTGTCACTAACTTTAAGAGATGAATATGGTGTTTGCATATGTTGTTTTTTCTGTGTGAACAATGGGTGTCACTGTTGAAGTATTCTGGGTTCAACTATTAAAGTTGCCTGGTGTTTGATGCAGAAGAACAAAGGGTTTGTTTATCAGGAACATGTGGGATTTGTTGTTGTGGAAATGACATTTGTATACGTTTATGTACAATACATCAATTACACGCTTGTTATTCTACAAGCTGGAATGTTTGCAGAATCTGTAAGCATACCGTAGACTAACAAAAAACTAAGCACATCACAAAGTCACTCCAGAGTTGGACTTCTCCTTAGATTTCATTCCTTATGAAAGGAATAAAGTGCACTTGCAACTTTTAAAATTGCTGTACAATTATTTGAACACAGCTATGACTTATAGGACTCAAGCTGTTATCTGTCGCTAGCTTTAATGTCTGTCCCTCTGTCCTAATGTATTTGTGACTTCATGTGAAGCTGTTTGATTTAAGTGTTGGCACTTTGTGGTTGTTTTTTCACGGAGAGAAAGGCGATTTAATATGTCGAAAATTAACCATTCAATACCTCTGTTTCCCAGGATAGTTTGAGGAGTCGTCGACCAAGTGATCGAACGCGGTGCAGAAATCGTCAAGTTCTCCATTTTCACCGAATGCTCCCCACTCCATGTTCACACACATACGGCCGTCATCCCCCTCCACACGCTCGATGTTCTGCATTTCCTCCATGTAGCAGCAGTTTGTCCCTGTGCCTGAGATCAAGACAGGGGGAAAGGTATAAGTACAGCCATGAAAGAAAAACAATCACTTCAGCTTAATGCCAAAGTAAAAAAAATAAAAAATAAATAATAAGTCAGTGTTTGCTTACAGTGTAATTAATCTAAATAGGGATGCATGACTATATTGTCACGTTATATGTTTAAGCAGATAAAGGCTTTCAAATTAAAAGCAGCCAGAAATAAACATGAATATTTGAAATGATGCATTTTATGCAAATATATAACTGCAGGTTTTACATGTGAGTTTAGTTGATTTCATTTTTTCGTGGTTTTGCTAGGGAATATGTATATTTCGAAAAACATTGTATTTATTGTCAGCCAGTGGCCATCATGATTACAGTAGTTTTTTTGATAACTTAAAGGGGACCTATCATGCAAAATGCACTTTTGTACGTCTTTTATACATGAATATGTGTCCCCGGTGTTCCAGGGAACTCACCAAGTGTCAGAAAACACAACCCTCTCTATTTTCCTCCATACCCAAATCTCTAAAAAAGGGGCTGCAACGGATCTGATAAAAACAACCCTTGCAGAGCTATAAATTGTCAAATTGAGCGAAATGAGGCATGGCTAAAATGCATGATCTGTTTGGTATTTTGAAAAAAAAAAAGTATAAATATGCCTTATATAGGTATGGTCCTACACTATATTATTAAAATATAGCATGATAGGTCCACTTTAAGCTCCAACCGTCCAATGACTAAAATCCTTCAACCTTTTGAAACAGTGAGTTAAAACCACCAATATCTTAAAAGTGAATAGTAAAAATGTGGCTTGAAACTGGGTAAAGAGGACATCTAATGTTCTTTTCAGGTTCATATCAGTATGTAGTGTCTCTACTCTGACATGTCTCCATGCTTTAATGTTCAAAAAGTTCTTTATTGTTCTCATACTGCCTGCACCTCTTTTCACCCTCTGTCTGAAACCAGAGCCCAGTCTGCTCTGATTGGTTAGCTGGCCGGCTCTGTTGTGATTGGTCAACCGCTAAGAGATGTCCCGCCCCTTAGCCTATCACGTACAATGTGTTGGAGCGCTAGCCAATGAGTCGTTTCAGACAGACAGTGTGTGGGAGAGAAACTCCCTCCGGAAGGAATGCAGGGGTTTTAAGCCTTTGCAGACCATTTACATGCACAAAACCCTATATAACGTAACGCACTACAGGAAAGGGAAAACCCAAAAAGCATAAGTCGTCCTCGTTAAATTGATTAAATTGTATTTCCTCAACAAAAAACTTCACTGCAATTAGGTGGAAAAGATATGTGCATAAATTGGTACTGGCAATCAGCCAATATGAGTTTTAAAACAGCGGCACTGCTGGACATCTGCAAAAATTAAATATAGTGCGTCCCTAATTATAATGTTTAAAAATGGCACCAAGACAGAGACTGCCTCCAGCGAAGAAAACAGGTAAGTGGGTTGATTGGTTGGGGGGGGGTAGACAGACTCACCTACGATGAGTCCCACCTCACACTGGGGGTCCTCATAGCAGCAGGTCATCATGGTTCCCACTGTGTCGTTAACCACCGCCACAAAGTTCAAGTCAAATTCCTGGAAAGCAAGAAGGTTTATTTATATAGCACACGTCAACAACAAGGCAATCTGAGGTGCCTTACAACTGACATTAAAGCATCAAGATAACATAACATAAGATAACACAGCAGCACAATAATAATAAAACTGTACACTAACAGTGCAGTAAAAAGAGCAATTAAATATCTACAGGAAACATAAACGGTCACATCATTAATGTATATATTAACAGTATTTAGTAGTGCAAAAACCGTAGTGGTAGTTACGTAATTGCACGTTAGTTATCGAACATTATTAATAATAATAATAATAATAATAATAATATTGCACATGATAGCAGAGTCTTTTGTAATGATGGTAATAGTATTTATATTGCACATAGTGGTGGTGTGGAATTTCTCAGTTCCCTTTACTGAAGAGTTATATTGTTTGACAGCCACTGGGAGGAAACACCTCCTGTGGCGCTCTGTGGTCTCAGACATGGTGCAAAAGATTATAAAATGACATTAACCCTGGCTTTAAATCTGGAGATCTAGAAAGATCATTAGTTTTCATGTTAGTTTAGTGCAGCCTCTTGACTTTATATCACTGGAGAACAGGACATTTGGTAATAAAAGTGTTTTATTGAAGGTTTCTTTAGATTTTGAGAATGTCCGAATGTACTATTCCATAAGGTCAGTATACAAAATGCTTGTATAATCACAGACCTTGTTAATGTTGTCTATTGTTAGATTTATTTTATAACGTACAGTTTACAGGGTCTTACAAAATGTACTTTTCATTATAATAGCTCCATTTATGTTTTTTTCTTTTGGCTGGAATGAAAACTTTTTTACAGCAGACTTTATTTGCCAACCTTGGGAGAGAAGGCAGAATAGTACTCGTTTTTTTTGACAACTTAAAGGTAGGGTAGGTAAGAATGGAGAAACCAGCTCGAGTGCGCTAGAATTTGAAAGTATGCAGCTGAAATAAATCTGCCCCTTCCTTCAGACTTCCTTACAGAGCCCCTCCTCCAACACACACGAACGTGCACATGACCAATGAGGGCACGAGATAAGTTTGTGCACGAGATGGAAGGCTGACAGGCAGGTAGGCCATCCAGTTATTTTAGCCGGGCCGGCTCAGATGATTGGTCGTGCTTTTTACAGCACCACGGCTTCCACAGATGACATTTCTTTATGTATTTATTGTCAAAGCATTTCATATATTCATTGCTATCGGGATGTTAAGAGCATTCCATGGAATATAACAAAAAGTGTTTCTGAAGTGAATTACCTACCCTACCTTTAAGCTCCAGCCGTCCGATGACTAAAATCCTTCAACCTTTTAAAACAGAGTTAAAACCACCAATATCTTAAAAGTTAATGGTAAAAATGTGGCTTGAAACTGGGTCAAAAGATACTGACACATGTACAAAGGGGGTATGCCGCCATTACAGGAGAGCAACAGATTCACAAAATGTAAAGATTTCTGTTTTACAATTCTTGGAAGCACACAATATACATAAGTCTTGTAATTTTAATACAAACATGTAACCTTGAATAGGCTTACAATATGATCTATAAGCACTTTGAATTGCCTTGTGTTGAAAAGTGCTATATAAATAAACTTGCCTTGCCTCTCATAGTTGCTAGGATAACATGTGCCATAGCAACGGGATATACTGTATATCCCGTTGCTATGGCACATGTTAAAAGGTTTCCATCTAAACCCAGTTATACTGTTTATATGTAGTCTACATATAAACAGTATAACTGGGTTTAGATGGAAACCTTTTACAGACATTTAGAATAACTTTTTTTTACAGCTGGTTAAAGTTCACCTTGATTCTCATTTAGTTTTTTTTTAATAAAATCTTCCAGATGTAACCTGTAAGCCTTAGGTATATACTGAAGATAAAAGGAGAATAAGGAGGAAGAATGAGGGACATATGGGAGCTGTTTGTAAGACACAGCTCACTCTTCGTTATAATCTTCTAGTGTCCACATTCATGTAATGCTGATGCGTTTACTGACCCGTCTGCGGCGGACAGCATCTTTTAGTAACGTGAGGACATCTTGTCCTTCACAGCCGCTGGCTTTGAAACCTTTTGTCCACTTCAGAAGAATTCCCTGGAGAAAAGGACACAAGTGATTGGTTTGTGTGACAGGAGGAGTTATTGCAGTGATTTAAATGTTGACACGATCTAGGGTCAAGTTAGAAATGTGTCTGTCTGTAGAGATCTAGCACCACTGTCACTATTCTCACGTGATTTGTATTTATTTTCTTTCATTTTAATGTAAGACTGGTATTCATTTAGATCTGTTCAACTTGAAACACATTGTTCTTAGGAAACTTAAAGCTTCCATTTTAAGAATAGTGCTGTTTAACTCAAGTTTTTTTCTCATGCGATGCAAAGAAATAAGAAAATAATCTAAAGTGATAATGTACACTATGTTTATTCAACCCTTAGATGGACCCTACACTCTTCCATAAGTGGGTCAAAAAGGACCCGTATTAGAATAATGTGTTTTTATGCAATTTTTGTCATTTTGGAAAAAACTTTTTGAACATATTGATGCAAAGATCTCCGCTATTCTGAGACCCTCGCAGTATTCCAGTCCCTTTTCAAAACTCATCTCTTCTCCTCTTGTCTACTCATCATAGCCCACCCCCCATCAATCCATGCCGGTTGATCAAGTTTGATAGTCCTATACCCCCCACCCTAACCTTCCCTTATATTGTAAGCGATTTTGAGTCCTTGAAAAGCCCTATACAAATATAATGTATTATTATTATTATTATTATTATACTGACAGGTATCAGATCTTGCCGTGTACAATAATCTTCCTGAGAGGTGTCACTTGTGATGTAGTCTGTGTGGTCCACAGTGAATGTATTCCTGAAAGCAACAGGTGATAAGAATCAAAGGTTCCCATTTTTGACCCACTTACAGTATGGAAGCTTGGGGTAGTAATACAAAAACAACAATTTCTTAAAATGTAAATGGCATGATATCCAAAACATGTTTTTTGACGAATAGCTGGAATATGAAATGATAAAAAAATGTAATTACAAAGATAGTTCAAGAAAACTACCTCACCGGGTCAAAAAATACCCACTTATGCATCTAAGGGTTAAAGAACAATTACTCCATCGTGCTATATATCATTATCGCCATATTAAATCACTCCTACGGTGGTTGGATAAAAACACCTGAACATACCCGAGGTCTTTGTTTCTGCTCAACCTTCGCAAAGTGAGTTAATTACAGTTAGCAACAGTTTCTTCAGCTGTACAATTAACAAAATAAGTTTTTTAATGCAACAGCATTTTTGTTTCACTCCCTAAAAAAGGATTCATTTCTAAAAACATAGTTGAGAAACATGGTCAATGAATTACAAAAGAAGCTCATTTATCCTTCTAGGGTTTATGGTCTAACAAAAAGATAGAGAATGTTTTTTCCTGAAACCTTCAGCATCTCTTAACACAGAGGGGACACATGTTCATGTATAAAAGACAAGTGGATTTTCCATAATAGTCTGCCTTTCAGTTCTACTTAATGTTTTCAACCATGAAACCCAAAGCAGCCTGCACTTACAAAAGCCGCCCGTATATATTTCTAGAATGAAACCATGTCTGAGTCTTGTGTTATTTTAGACATTAGACATGTAAGAGGGGGTGATTCATGTTTAAGTGCATGATGCAGGCAGAGCTTCGTATTGGCGTCTTCAGCTGAACAATAACGCCTATAGTTCACTGAGAACAGCACTAGGGATGCCAGAAACTGACCATGATCAAATTCGAAAATCGGATAGCCCTGGCGAATATTAATCAATTATTCGCGGGAGAGAAAAAAAAAAGTCTTCTCGCAGAGCTTGCATTTTACTTCATTTGCACTTGTCAGTTCGAAGTAGTTCCACGAGAACTCTTCTTTGAACGTGCCGCTTTGTTCATCTTTAGTTGTGTTGTTCTCACTGTTCTGTATATTGCCAATAAATCAATCGCACGTGTGACGGAGAAGGGGGGGGGGGTTAAAACAAGAGCTTTAATCAGATACCTCAATATCAATATTCTATTGGTGCTTTCCTAAAATATCTTCTCAATAACATTTTTGATATGTAATTATAAGTATGTGGATATAATCACCAAGTGGGTAAAAGACAGTAATACAAAAAATAAATTAAACCCCCTTGTCATGTATCCTTTATAACCAGGATTAGACAACACTTATGCCTTACTACGATGTAAATAAAATGTAGATTTATTGCTTTACCCTAAAAATAAATATCCTTTTCTCTGCACTCATGCTGTTATAATTAAAATAAAAGACCTGGGAGAAAACAGATATTGATAATGCAAACTAAATGTACTTGAAAATGTGCACATTTAATTCAATTTGTTTTCATATGCATGATAGGCAGCCTCACACTTATAATGAATATTAAACCAAACGTTACCTGATCTATTTTTGTCTGATAACAGGGGAAGGAGAATGTAAATCCCAGAGGTAAGGATGCTCCACTCATGCCCATGTATTCCAGAAAGTCGGCGATGCAGTCCACGATGTGGCTGAAAAGCTGTAACACAAAAGAGAGAAAAAACACTGAAAATGACTGAAGTTACATTAAAAAAAAGCAGCACGCAAAATGACATACAAAAAACCAGAATGCCGTCGAGGCCAAAGAGGCATTCAGATGCTCCTTGGATTGTCACATCTCCCTAATTGTGAAGTCATTATCCCAACTTCAGTGTATTCAGAGACTTTTAGTCGTAAAAAGGCAACACCGCGGGTTTCATTTAACATTTAAACCACACCTTTTAGAGTTATTGTTCCAACTACAGGTGCTATTCAAAGGAATTCTGCGTTGGAAAATCAGTTTTTTAATTATTTAAACACCACATGAATGCAGCAGAAATGTTTAATCTTGCAAATGTTAACAAAAGTAAAACAACTTTAATGTAGAACAGAATATAAATGGGAGGGATGAAACCCTCTGTAATGGTCACACATGCAGAGCACACAGCACACACAGTGACATGTGTTCTCTGCTTTTAACCCATCCTAGTACCAGGAGCAGTGGGCAGCTATTGTACAGCGCCCGGGGAGCAATGGGAGTGCGGGGGGAAGGGGGGTGTCCGGTGCCTTGCTCAAGGGCACCACACCAGGGCAGGAGGTGGGCTGGGACCTCTCCAAGTAGCAGTCCACACTCCATATTTTAGGTCTGGTCGGGGACTTGAACCGGCGACCCTACAGCTCCCAGTCCAAGCCCCTACTGACTGAGCCACTGCCGGACGATACAATGTATCTGTGTATCTTTGACCTCCTTGTGAATTAAGCTAGATGATTTTTTGTGAACGTCCTCCTTGGCCAAGGTAACAAATTGGTGTTATTGTGTTCCACTGTTGTGCATTACATCAGACAAAACTCTTTATACTTTACAATTAATAAAATATGTTGCTTGTAATAATGCACTCGACATAGATAAGTTACATTCAGATTTGCACTATTTATAACACTCTTTTATCAGAGGACCAGCTTTTACCATTAGATGATTAAACTTCACAAACATGGCAGAGGTCCCTCAGTGTAACCACTTATGTGAAATACTCAGAGATGGCAAAAGTACACACATCCTTTACTCAAGTAGAAGTACAGTGTTACGGCCGCCGCCTCCCCGGTCCTGTTAACTCTGCTTCGACTGTGTTTTCTGTAAATGAGATGTGCGGTTGCCCTGATGTCTCAGACAAGCCTCCCAACAGTCCGACTCTCCCGGTAACCCGAGAGCGCCTGCTAGTTTATCAGATAGTGGTCCTTGCCTTGTTGTTAGCTCTACAGCATTTTGAGATCCAGCTCTTGGCCAGTTGTTGTGTTTATTTATCACAATTCTGTCGTATTCTGGTCTTGCATGTACAATCACACTCAGCGTCTCATGCGATGGGCCCTGATCGTGCTGGACTACCACATTAGACATCCGTCATAAAAAGGGCTCAGAGAATGTGTTTGCAGATGCTCTGTCCAGGCTTTAGTGATGTGTATTGTGTTTGTTAGGTAGATGTGTTGTTGTGTTGCATATGTGTACTGTTAGTGTGTGTGGTTTCACAAAACATGTGGGTTTTTGTCTTAAGGGAGGGGGTGTTACGGCCGCCGCCTCTCCGGTCCTGTTAACTCTGCTTCGACTGTGTTTTCTGTAAATGAGCTGTGCGGTTGCCCTGATGTCCTTGGCTGCTCACCTCCTGGCCCGCCTCCGAAGATGTGATTGGAGCATGCCGGGCCCGACACACTCCAATCCCAGCGCACATCCAGCGCACACCTTCCGGAGACGACTACAAAGCCTGTGGACAACTATCAGTCGGGAGGCTCTGATGTGTGAACAGACGCCTCTCGCTACTTGCTCTTCGATCATAGACAAAGCTGTGAACTGTGTTTAACTCGTGTGGTCCGTATTTAGTTTAGTGTTGTCCTATAGCTTGGCTGTGTTTTATTATAGCCTCCTTTTGTTAGTTTGTACCACTTTGATAGTGAGGGTTGTTTTGTTGCTATTTTGTTTGTTAGTATCTATTTCTTTGTATTTACTTAGGCTCTCTTTTTAGAGTCCTCCTTTTGTTGGTTGCTCATTTAAACCTGCGCCCTTTTGGCCCTTTTGTTTGCTCCAGGCTGCTTGCCTTCCATTTTGTTTATATCACTATTTAATAAACTCCTTGTAATTATTACCAATTCCAACTGGTGTGTGTTGCTTTTCCTCTTCCCCTAGTACAGATACTCGTGTTTTAAAAATACTCTGGTAAAAGTAGAAGAACTGACTAAACTTCTTTTCACTTAAGTACATTTCAAAGCCCTCTTTACTTTTACTTGAGTAAAGTACCCATATTGTAACTGCAGCTGTTTTAAAGAGTACCTGACCTCCCTTTATATTAATAGAACAATAATGTCATTGTTAGCTAATGAATGTTTCCATGCTGAACAACGGCAACATGGCAACGTTTTCATTGGTCCCTCTTCTTTAGAGAAGACCAGGAAATGATGGATACACGGATCGTGTTCAAATCAATAGGCACGCAATGACTCTAAATAATAATGATCACGCCACCAAACACACATTCAAACTAAAGGAACCAGCCTGTTTGGAAAATGTAAGAAGTAGAAAGTACAGGTATTTGGGTTCAACATGTAAGAAGTAGAAAGTACAGGTATTTGTGTTCAAAATGTAAGAAGTAGAAAGTACAGGTATTTGTGTTCAAAATGTAAGAAGTAGAAAGTACAGGTATTTGTGTTCAACATGTAAGAAGTAGAAAGTACAGGTATTTGTGTTCAAAATGTAAGAAGTAAAAAGTACAGGTATTTGTGTTCAACATGTAAGAAGTAAAAGTAAAAAGTCGTCAGAAAAATAAGTAGTGGAGTAAAGTACTGATACCAGAAACATGTACTTAAGTACAGCAACGAAGTATTTGTACTCCACTACTTCCCACCTCTGGAAATACTCAAAGTACTTTAGGGATGGCTAACCTCTTCCCCTGTGCCCTGCATTGTCTCCAGTGGGATGCTGTAGATCTTGTGATGCATGTCCACATTGTGTCCTTTTCCACTGCGCACTCGCACCAGAAGCACCCGGAAGCTGGAGCCCCCCAGGTCCAGAGCCAGGAAGTCCCCGTGCTCTGAGGAACACAATCAGGATGAGAATCACAAACACAAACATAACAGCATTATGCAAAATACTAAAATGAATAACAAGTCAAGTGGTCTGTTTTTCTCTTAAGGGGGGACACTTCAGGTAAATAAGATAATGTTTTTACCCAATAGATATCACTATAAAAAAAATATGTGGACATTTACTGAACAATGCAGCCAGGTTTAAAGTTCTTGTTGCATTTTTGTGACATTTAAAAGTTAAAGGATTTCACAGAGGGATTTTGATATCTTTGCATCACTCGATAAACAAATGTAACTGATAGAAATCACCATGAAACGTCCCCGGCTGAATACATTATATTATATTGCAAATAAGGGATTAGGCAACATTTACTTAACAGTTAACTAATCAAAAATATTAGTTCTAGTATAATAAGTTAGTATATAAACACCTGTGTTTATGAAATGTTTATTTTGGATGTGTTCTTTCCACTTCGATAGCAAAATAGTGCATGAAAAAACAATCCTATTTGTAAGTGTTTAGCCTTTAAAGCTTAAGAACATTAATTAATAATGATTAACTCTATGATCATGGGAGCATTTTCCACTTTTTCCCCACACTTATTTCCATCTTCCACTCTGAGCTACCTGTTCCATCTGGAGTGTCTCTCACGTAGGAGGGCAGCATCTTGACGCTGGATTGCTCATGGTTTTGCTTTGACAGTCCTCGCTCCATGTCCTCGCTCATCCTCCTCTTCACATCCAGCAGCTGCTCTCGGCTCAGACGCAGGGTGTCCAGGATACGCTGACGCTCGGCGTGTTGAACTGCGAGACGATAGGCGACCGCCGTTACCATGGCTGCACCTTTCCCGCTGCCACACTGTGACTGCAGGAAACGCACATCGCAGTCGGGCACGAGTCGCCGTACCATCTTGTGGAGCCTCCTGGAAAACCTGAGGAAAAAAGAGATACATTTTGTTCAATTTCTCTTTTGTTTTTAATCCTGACATCCCTTAGTTTAAATGCAGAGAAAATCATAATTATACGTTGTTTATACTCCTTGAAATGCATAAACAGAGCTCATTCCAAGCAGAGGAAGTTGAGTTAGGAATATAATACCTTACTTAAACTACCCACAGTGTGAGAGTGGATGTTATTAGCCCACAATAGTTGTGCAACCGTGCGTTTATTTTATATTCCATGGAGGGCTTCATCCTTGGAACCACCACTCTCTCCGTGTTCTTTGTTTGGCATTAAAGTGACCACTTGTAATTTCAACTCTATTCAGCTGAGAAGCAATCACTCCTGCTTCTCTATACCCTATTGAATACTGAAATCCCTTTTATGCATTCATTTCCGGCAGTGAGTCAGTCAGTAGGGGCTTGGACTGTGAGCCGTTGGGTCGCCGGTTCAAGTCCCCGAACAGACCTAAACATGGAGTGTGGACTGCTACTTGGAGAGGTCCCAGTTCACCTTCTGGGCCCTGCCGTGGTGCCCTTGAGCAAGGCCCTGGACACCCCCCCCCCACTGCTCCCCAGGCACTGTCCAATAGCTGCCCACTGCTCCTAGTACTAGGATGGGTTAAATGCAGAGGTCAAATGTCACTGTGTGTGCTGTCTGCATGTATGTGTCAGAGTTCCCGTTAGCCGGTAATTACCGGACTATGACCGGTAAAATATGCTGAAGACCGGCAAATCTAAATCTCTCCGGTCAAAATGTCCGGTCAAAATAATTTCCCCTTTAGCGCAATACCGCTTCAGTTGCGCCACTTATGTGACAGACAAGAATAGTCAATTCTAATGTCTAACACTTAATGTGGAGAAAGAGATGTCCTGTATGGTTTGATTGTGCGTTGATCTGTTGGTAATGGCTCGGGGTTCCGGTGGGCATGTAAACAAATGCATAATGCTGCTGCGCTATACTTTGTGGCCTCACCCGGTTGCATAGCGACGCTTATTGTTTAGGTGTCTTGATAAGCAGGTAGTCATATCATTAGCTAGATATAACTAGATCTGATCGATATGGACATAAACGCGAGTGAAGTCTAATCTGACGGGAGAGAGATCAGCTGCTGCTGACGAGTCGACATGCAGCTCTGCATGATCACCTGCAGCGGCGAGCGGAACAAAACACACACTTCAGGTTAGAATATCACACGTAGCTATTTTAATTACCTCTCAAACTACCTAAACTAGTTATAGATATGTTTAGTTTTACTGTCGGGTCCTTACTGATCCGCGAGCTGCATGATATTGGCGGGCTGTCAGGAGAGGGAGAGAGCGTTTTTTATTCCCGTGTTATTGTAAATTACTGTACACTTTTGAATAATGTAGTTAATCTACTATAATTAGTTTGTTTAATATCGAATTATATCAATTTGTTTTAAAGCTCAATAAATAACAAAGAAGACCTTTGACCGGCACTTTTCTACTTTTGTCCGGAAGATTTCAACTTTAACGGACATTTTGACCGGCGAAAAAATATTCTAACGGGAACTCTGGTATGTGTGACAATTAAAGAGGGTTTCATCCTCCGATTCTATATCTATATTTGATATGCTCTGTTTTGTGTTATGCTGTTGTGCCACATGTATTGTTGACATTTATGTTTACTGTTGATTTTTGTTTTGTTCTGTTATATGCCTTGTGCGGAATGCTTTGGCAATACTATGTTTAAAATGTGGTCATGCCAATAAAACCCCTTTGTATTGTATTGAGTTCAGGAACACTCACTCTGAATGGTTCTTGTAAACAGAGCCGTCCACTCCAATAGTGGTACGCAGCTTCTCCGCCGCTTTGTTGTCCCGGATCTGTCTCAGCACAGCCACCAGAGCAGCAGCACACAGGTGAGCGGACCGCGTGGAGACCACCTGACACACCCTCTGTGTTGCTATGCAGTCCTCCACCAGCGGGTCGAGACCTAGGCCCCGGAGCACCTCCTCTGCACGCTCCACACCTTCCTCCTCCCTGCAGGAAAGGCAATGAGAGTCTTTTTTACAGGAGACAATTTAAAGTGCTTTAAAAAAAACATTAAAGGTTATGCAAAATGCACTTCTTCCTGTCTTTTATACATCAACATGTGTCCCCTCTGTGTAAAGAGATTCTGAAAGTTTCAGGAAAAAAGATTCTCTTTTTGTCCTGATCCATTTATATAAAAACCTGTCTGAAAATGAGCTGAATTTTGGCCACTTTATGATGTCATAATGATGTGTTGGCTTGAGTAACCGTTAACCAATCACCAACCAAGGTACCCCCCCCCCCCCCCCCCACCATATCACCTGAATCTCCTCCTAGAGCTCCATTGTGTTCTTTTTAACCAAATATCTCTCAGAGGGGCGTGGGGAGGGGCTCCTTATTTTCATCTAAAGTAACAGACAGAGAATCAGCACTTTTGAAACGGGGCTGAAACAGAGGGGATTATGGGATGCTGCAATGATCTGTTTGGTGTTTGGAGCCAAACACTTCAGAGACATGTTTTGTATATATCTGAGACCTATAATATATTGATGAAAAACAGTATAATAGGGGACCTTTAAGACAAAAAGCTGAAAGTAGAATACAAATTACATTCAATATAACCTTTACTGTTTACTGTTATTTTGAAAAGCTTTGCCACTTTAAATTTTACACATATTTTATTTTTCCAGAGTAATTTGTCATATTCTTGTTGTACATTTATAGTATAATTATATTTCTTGTTACCAGTTATTTTTACGTTTTAATGTTTTTAATTATAGTTTTAAGTTTAAAATTGTTTAAGCCTTAAATGGCGTATTATATTAAAAACATGAGGCAACAATTAGATAAGATAAGAGAGATTTAAAAATGCACAAAATATGAGCAATATGAAGTGAAACGAGACTGGAGTTGTCTCATCTGTGTCTATATTGCAATTGTATGATGAATAAAAGCAGTCACCTTATTGGTTGAAATGAATTGAAATGTAAATAGAAAACATGACGCAATAATCTGATAATAAGTGATTGTTAATCTGACACACTGTTGTTGCTGCTGAAGGGGTGTGTGTGTGTGAGTGTGAGTGTGAGTGTGAGTGTGAGTGTGAGTGTGAGTGTGTGTGTGTGTGTGTGTGTGTGCGTGTGCGTGTGTACGTATGTGTGTGTGTGTGTGTGTGCGTGTGCGTGTGTGTGTGTGTGTGTGTGTTCCCTTGACTATTGTAATAACTTTAAAGTACAAGAAGTGTGCACTGGACTCTATATTGGCAGATATTAAAAAAAAAACTTGAATCAGGACTTCCCAATTTCTGGTAGGACGCTATAATTATCTTTTTAAATAAATTAAACTCTCTCACACAAACACACACACACACGTACGTACTTGTCAGTGTCGATGCCGTAGATGAAGCTGGTGCTGAAGCTCCCTGTTTTGAGGAGCTTTGCTGAAGTCTTGCCCTGGAAAAGCAGCTTTTCTTTGGTCATCCTCACCAGGATGAGACGCACCACTTCCCCCAGGTACAGGCCGCTGATCATCTTCTCAAACCTGCACAGCAACACAATAAAGAGACGCTAAAGATATCCTCACATCCATAAGAGTTTCTTTCAAACTAGGGCTTTGCAAATTGCAATAAAAGAGTATTTGCAAAGCCCTAGTGTCCACCTGTAGACATTTTTGCAATACTGCTTATACTGCAGTAGCTACTATCAAGTGTTCTTGTGATGCGTGTGCCATATCAAGATGCACCTTCACTTCCCAGCATCACTTGAAACTGCTTGTGCAATGTCCAGTTTTTTTACCTGTACTTAAAGGTAGGGTAGGTAAGAATGGAGAAACCAGCTCGAGTGCGCTAGAATTTGAAAGTACGCAGCCGAAAGAAATCTGCCCCTTCCTTCAGACTTTCTTACAGAGCCCCTCCTCCAACACACACAAACGCACACATGACCAATGAGGGCACGAGATAAGTTTGTGCACAGATGGAAGGCTGACAGGCAGGTAGGCCATCCAGTTATTTTAGCCGGGCCGGGCCACTCAAGCTGGTTTCTCCAAAATTACCTACCCTACCTTTAACTGTCAAGTGGGAAATAAGTATTTTTTGTAGTACGTTTTTGTGTTTCTCTTATTATCCTACGATACTGTTATGAAGGACAGACCATCTATTTCTATTTATTTTTGTTTTATTTAGAAAGGGCAGGTAATATAAGATTATTTTCTCCTTTTCGGTCAATGGTGTGTTTATAGAGACATGTTTTGTAAACAATTATTATACATTAAGTTGTGCATACCGTGAATGGAACAAATCAAATGAAATGAAAAACCTAAGTGCACGTATGAGCCATATTAAGACATACTTGAGCTAGTCTGAATAAGAGAGAGTTACATCTGGCCGTTTGATGTGTATTATATAAATTTAAATTCAAAATGTCCATCCCATTCTTATATGGACTGCAGGGCTGAAGGGGGTTTGCAGCTTTATTGATCATGATTGTATGCTTTATATTGCAGTCACAACTGCAGTCTTTTAACTGCGGTGTGCATATATACACTTTTTTACTGTAATCTGCAAAAAACACAACTAATAAAACCATGTCCTGAATCAACTAGTAATAATTTCCTTAATCAATACTTCTTATTCAATACAAAGCTTGTGGCTGCACATGCTCTCTCCAAGTGTTCAGACTGATTACCATCTGCATGATATTAATTATGTGTCTCTGTTTAAATATGGATCTACAGATAGTAAGAATCATTAAAGTAAGAACATTTGACAGATTTTCAACAATCCATGGTGCATGTATTTGCACGCAAAATCATATATTGCCATTAAGAGATGGAAATCGAACTATTTCTCTGTAAACACTGACTGGAATCATATAGCCACATTAACTGATTAAGTATGTGTGGTCTTATACATTTCATGTCTAAATTACAGGCCAATATTAACCATTAGCACCATTATAAAAGTCAATTCAGCTCATCAAACCAAGTCAGTGTCACTGAGGGTGGAAACTATTCTATTTCTACTCTTCCTGATTAATAACAAGTTGTATATTTAAATATGAATGTCTCCTTATATAAAAATTAACATGCATATAAAACGGGAATCAGACAGAGGGTGAAAAGAGGTGCTGCAGCACAGGCAGTATGAGAAGAGCTTTTTGAACATTAAAGCATGGAGACATGTCAGAGTAGACACACTACATACTGATATGAATCTGAAAATGAGCACACCATGTCATAATAATACTATAATACTAAATATATCAAATTAAAGAACCATTGATTTGAGGACATTCACTACTGAGGGATGTTTCATGTAGTAGTAAATCAGATGCGCTCAGAGACTCACAGCTGCTTGCCAGGGTTCAGAGATCCTGCGTCTATCTCCCGATCCACGTCTGTGCGCAGGTCCTCCAGAGCGCCATCGTCTCCGAAAGCGCCCCACTCTGTGTTCACACACATCCGGCCCTCGTCCCCATCCAGCAGCTCCAGGTTCCTCATCTGCTCCATGTAGCAGGCGTTGGTGCCGGTTCCTGGAGGAAAGGAATGTTTTAGCATTACAATTACAGAGTCGTTTCCAACCAAAAGTTAGACCAGGAATGACAAAACATTTGACTGTAAATCATTCATGTTTGAATCGAACTAAAACCATTATCACCCTTTCCCTTTAAGGCCACTAACAATAAGACCTGTGTCTGTGTCGTGAAGAGAGCTACAAAGTATGTATAGTTTTATTGGTTTGTATTAGCATTTCCAGTAATAAAAAGGCATCTATGTTACAAGTCCCTGTCAAATTAACAGACAGTGATTCAAAAGGTCCAGTGGTTTCTTTTAGCTAAAGGAATTCTTGCAGCTCATTTTGATCCCTGTGTGAGTAAACAGATACCTGCTATGGGATGTGATGTTGCATTTTAACTGCTGCCAGAACAATATAAAGTCCTTCAAAGTTAACTGAAGCCCTGGGATGTATGTGCTGAACTGTCTCTGGATAATGAGACACCTGTGCAGCAGGGGATGTGATCTTACTGACAGTTTTAAAGAATAATTGATAACTCCATGCGCTTGGGAAGTAAAATCACTTTCCCAGCAGTGATAGGCCCTGCAGTGCAGAGATAATTAGCTGATCCAAGTTGGGAGAAAAACCTATTCTTATTCTCCTTTTCATGAATAATGCCGCTCCATTTGGTGTGAGCATTTCTACAGTATGCATGTTACTGTTAAATGACGTGAATTCCTATTTGATACAAGCACTAAGTTTGAAATATAAAAATAAATAACATGTTACCACATTAACACAGTGGATCTCCTCCGAGACACAGACTGAGCATCTACACCTTCCTACCCTCATTGTGCTTGTTTTCCAATTATACACGTTACATAAACAATTAATTGTAGATGCAGCACGTGCTGTATGCGGACAAGAGACACATTAAAAGGGAAACAGAATGCAGAAACAAGCTGTTAGAATGCATATATGATCCATACGGGGCGTGGTAAACAGTTTAATGAGTAGGAACATTATGTAAATCGAGTGCCTTCCTGACACTACATCTGAACCCAATTTAACACCTATGGGAGAATATTATAAATATAAATATGTAATGAATTGTATTATAGAGTGCTGCAGTTTTGAGTCCTATTCCCTCGTCTCAAAGTAATCGGGTTTAAGGTTAGGATCACGTAATAAGGTCTATGGTTAATGCAAGCTAGAGATTCTCACGTTTTCTTCTAAGGCATAAAACAATTCAGTAAATAATATATTTACTGATATTCTTGAATTTCTGAATATGTTATCTGTCTTCAAAAAGGCTGTTGTTTAGAAGTGCAGAAATTAGAAAATCAACCCCCTTTTAGCTTAGCTAGCGTTGTACGTTTTGAACTCCTGGCGACTGCATTTACACTTCAAACATGTGTGCAGATTATCCTACTGAATAAATGTAAGTATCATACACGTTTGTTTGCCACGGAGCTCATTTTAAGCAAAAGTCCAAAACGCAATGGGAAAATACCATTGGTTTTGTGTCAAGGAGCCCAGTCTGTCATGTCAGCCTACAAAAATACGTCATCGCTGCACCGCTCAATAAAACGCTGCTAATTGAGTGTCGATTAATTCAGCACCAGTATCCAAATGCTCTGCTAACTGGCATAAGAGCTTACTGGCCTTAATGGTTCCTTGTTACTTGCTTTAGACTTAACTCACCCACAATGAGGCCAATTTCACAGTGGTGGTCGTCGTAGCCGCAGGTCATCATGGTGCCCACTGTGTCATTGATCACAGCCAGAATGTCAACGTCAAAGTCCTGCCGTGAGATTTAATTAGACTTTATTAGTTTTCGCTTTGACAAGGGGCAAGAAGTTATTCAACAGTTCTTATGATCATAGAACAGCTGGATGTTATCTTACATTGCAAAAAAGTATGCACAGCAAAGATGAACACATTTCAACAAATAACATGCAATCATGAAGAGCCAGAAACTATCAAATGCAGGATTTGAGGCGAGGAAGATCAGGGCAACATGCGGGCATACATGCTTTACATACAACAAAACAAACAAAAACAGACTTACACGTGAATTGTGATGTTATAATGAGGAACATAACAAATACAAACACTTACACGTATAAAAGCTTGTTGAAAAGTGACTGGAAACAGTCACTGGAGAGCATAAAAACACTGGAGCAACGTAGCATCTGATCAAGCTGTTAACATAATCACACAAGCCAAGCAAGTGAGCATCAACAAACTATTATTTGATTATAATAGGCGACTGTGGGAGTGCGGTCGTCTTTCAACCAGAAGGTTGTGGGTTCGATCCCAGCCCATGCCGTCAACATGTCGATGTATCCTTGGGCAAGATACTTAACCCTGAGTTGCTCCCGATGGCCAACGGTGTGTGAATGTGTGTGAATGTTAGGTCCTAGAGTAAGGTACACTGCTCTGTATGAATGGGTGTGAATGGGTGAATGACATGTAGTATGTAAAGCGCTTTGAGGGGTCGTAAAGACTGGATAAAGTGCTATATAAGTACAGTCCATTTACCATTTCATTGGTTGCACTATAAATAGAAATGTAAGGATGCATGTACGTGACACAGAGCAGCAGGCCGGAGAGATAGTGTGTGACAAGAAAACATGAATATCATAACAGCTGTAGTTAGATTCAGTAAAACATCACTTCCTCTTGTGTACATTAAATATGGCATACTTTGGGAAGTGTTTATATGTGGTATGTATAGGATTGGATATGTTGCTTCACTGATATCCTTTGCTGGACTGTGGCATGATATAAAGTTTATAAACAATATCTGCCCATTATTTATAAGTTTGTATTTATCCAGGCAGATAAACATGTCATAGATTTGGACAACATAACAAAAGTGTTTTCTTAGCATCTTACAATTAAACTGTCGTTTTTACTAGTAAAATCTCTTTAAGTGGGCAGGCGAGATCATTTACTTTTCTTAGGACTAAAAAATGTTTTAGAAACATTTGTACGTGATCTTTGCCATTTCTGCCACACTCGTCATTGTGGGTGCTGTTTAGGATCAATAACATCGCTGAAAAGCATTCACAGTTCAGATTACAGTTTCGTGCAGAAGTGGCCGGCACATCTGAACATGCCGATAAGAGTCCACTTATCAGAAATGACAGGAGTTAGTCAGGTCATAGTTGGAAAGCCACAGAGAATCAATAGATGTGAACTATGAATAATTCATTCTCTCAGGGCTCTTCACATCTCAGGCTGTCTAAAAATAACTTGTCGTGTGGAGATGACATTTGCTAATCTTACCATAAGTGGACCACATCTTAAAAGAGCTTTGCCATTTCTGTGAACCCTGGGTCCGACAGGTCCAGGGTCATAGCAAGAGACCCTGAAGATGCTTCTTGTAGAGGGGGAATTAAAAACAGTCCAACTGACACGAAAACAGTTTTCACAGCAATACAAAAATAGATTAGAAGAAAGAATAACGACCTTTTTAATTTTATAAACAAAACCCGGTATGCAAACTTAATTTAGGAGTGTATGCTGAATGCTGAGAATGATTTAATTGTGATATTGAGCATCGCTGACCAAATGCAAAATGATTGGTATTTCTTGTCATGGTTATGCTGTAACCCAGACTCTGGAACTCCCTCCCCCCGCACATCCGACAGTCAGACACAATCACCATATTCAAATCCCAATTAAAAACCCACCTGTTCAAATCTGCCTACTCACTGTGCTCCCCATTATATGTTTCATTTGTGTCCACTTGACTGTCTCCTCCATGATTTCCTGTTTGTGTTTTTATCATGTTCTGTTGCCTATTAGCGTTTTATTTTTTTAACAAATTGTACGGTGTCCTTGGGTGTCATGAAAGGCGCCTACAAATAAAATGTATTATTATTATTAATATTTTCCACTTTTATTTTTAAAAGTGTCACCCCCATGTTATGTCTGTTACTTCCTGTCTTGCCTAGTTTTCACTGCCTGATTGTCTGATTGTGTTTCACCTCCCCTCCCAGCTGTGTCTTGTCTTGTGATGCCTTGTGTGTATTTAGTGTATTTGCGTTTAGTCTTCCCTTGAGCTTCTTGTGCGATCGTTGTCGATGTTACCTGGCTGTTCGTGACGATGTTCCTGTTCTTTGTGTCCCATGGTTAGTGTTTGTTAGTTTCTCTTTGTTTTCTATCAGCTTTTGAGTAAAGCTCACTTTTGGTTTGAACCTTTTACCCCAACCCTGACAGTTCTGACATCCCTAATAATTATATAAATATAACTTGATGTACATTTTGTATCCATATTATAATTTGCATGGGACATCAACACACAAGAGACACACAGAAAAAAGGCAGGATTACTAAGAAGAACGTAATGTATGGATATGTTCCAAAATATACCATGAAACTGGGATTTTTTGCACTTACGCCTCGTTTTTGGATGGATTTCTTCAGAAGGCTGACCACATCCTTTCCCTCTACTCCGTATGCTCTGAAGCTTTTGGTCCAATAAACCAAAACACTCTGTAAAGAAGGAAATAAGCACTAAAGAGCAGAACACATTTTATTTCAGCTATGCTGTAAAGTGTCATTTAAATCGTAGTAGATGTGAGTAGTTAGGGCTGCTCGATTATGGCAAAAATCATAATCACGACTATTTTTGGTCAAAATTGATATCACGCTTATTCAAAACGACTATCCATTGACTTTGAAAACATCCATTTATTGAACTTTAAAATAAAAATAATTTGAACAGTATGTTTTTAACAGTTGATTACCGTGAACTTTAAGTATAATTCAACTGAAAAACCAAAAAAAAAAAAAATACATTTATATCTACATTTAAATAAATAATATCAAAATAATAAATCAAGAAGATCAACAAATAATTTGGAGCGCACTACCACAACCTACTAAACATATATAATATGATAACTAATGTCACTCACAACCTGTAATGTTTAATTATACTGCTACACGCAGTACTCTTATTTTGGTAACCCCTTACCCGGAAACCGGAAGTAGCTAAGAGGCTCCAGTTTGACGAGGTTAGTGAAAGTTAACTACGCTAGAGACCGGAGAATAAAGACACGGCAACTAAAGCTTCCGTTGTAACGTGTTTATATGGATTTATTCAACAGACTGCAAGTCACAACACAACCTGGCCGAGAGGGCTTTTAGGGAGGGGGGGCAGGATATATAACGCAATACAAATTGAGAGCATCATTGCGAAAGGGAATGCAGCAAAATAATCGTTTTATTTCGATTACGTTGTTTTCGTAATCGTTGCAAGCCAAGATCGAGATTAAAATACGATTAATTGTTCATATCTCAACAATTAACACTGATTGGGTGACAAACGGGCTAAAGTTAAAAGAACACAACATTGCCATACCTCACTTGGTGACACCTAGGTACCTACATATACACATAAGAACGATGTTCATGTAATATCATGTTTCCAACCTGATTCCATTAAGAATCATGCATGATGCTATTTCATAGTAAACAATGAGTCTGCTGTTGATATTATGGATCGTAACAACCCTTCTTTTGGTCAAGTCTGCATTTTACTTAGAGATCAAATATAGTTTCAATTCAAGTAAATGAAGAAAGCCTAAATCACTCACCTCATCCAACTTGGTCTGCTGACAGGGAAACGAGAAGGTGAAGCCCAGAGGCAGCTTCTTATCCTTTATGCCCAACTTCTCCAGGAAGTTAGCCAGACAATCAGCGATGTGGTCGAACAGCTAGAGGGGAGAGGAAGAAGGCAAGTTTACTTTAAAAAAAAAACGCACACACACACACACACACACAGCAACCACTACTATTTAGAGATACTTATGGCTATGTTACTAATATATATTTAGACTGTAAGTGTCAATATGCACATTGACATTGAATTGAATCTCGTTGCACTGTCATCGCTACTACCTCTGCTTTTACCACTCTTATTTATTTATTGTGTCTATTTTTTAAGAGTTGCCAAAGAAATGTAGTTGTACTTTGTATGATGACAATAAAGATCTATTCTATAATGTTCTGATCGGGAAAACAATTGCATTGGCTGAGCTCATGTCCCCTCTCCTATAAATCAGTAATGGTTAATCTAATTACTCTTATTTTATATAGAGTAGCTTGTACGTATGAAGCTCAGTGTAACATCTAAATCAGCAAATATAATAAAGCATAATCAGTTTCTGTTTCTATCGTAAAAGTATGCTTAACTTTTTGGTACTCATTCACATTTCTCCTCGAAGTCCAAGTCTTTAGGTTAAATACCATATTCACCTTCAGTCATTATATGCAGTGCTGCAATGAAGCTCATCAGAAGTCCACTGTTACGACCCTGGGTCGTTAGGTCATTTGTGCCTCCTGTGTCTGTGAGTGTGTGTGTGTGTGTATGTGTGTGTGTGTGAGCAAGCAGGTGGTGCCCGTTAGCTGATTAGCTACCTTCTGCATGCTGATTGGTCCACCTGAGGAGACGGGAGCATATTAAGCTGCAGCCGGGCAGTCTCGGTCTGACTCGACTTCTATTCCCAACACTGTTGCGCCTTTATATCTGTCCTGTTGTGCTGTGTTCGTATACCTTCTCCTTCTCTTCTTGCTGTGAGACTTGAGAAAGTAAGCTACTTTACCTGTCTTTGCAGGCACACTTTATTTTTACTCAGGAGTGCAAAACCCTTTTCTTTGGTTAATTCGTTTTCTCCTGTTTAATGTTAGAGTAGGTAAGAAGCCTGTACGTTTATTTTTGTCTCATTCGTTAGGTAAGGTTGTTGTGTTAAAAGGTTTGTTTGTTTTGTGGTTTTGTTACTCCTGTGTGTGTATACATTTGGGTAATTAAAATTACCAAACGCTTACTGTGTCTTGGCGTCCATGTTCTTGGGAGTGGGAAAAGTGGGGAGAGTGCAACATTGTGCACTCTCTGGATTTGCACACTGGATTTGATGACACCACTTTGTCATCAAATCCGAATCGGTATTGTTCTCATCACCATACCAAGCAGGTTTTTCATATTCTATTTAGATCTTCATCAAAAATATATGATTTCTCAATGGAGTCTAATTACATTTCTCACCCTCTTTGCACATGTAAAAAATATTTTCACTGAGGAATAAGTGTCTCCTGATTGAAATGACTATACTGTACCTTGCCATAAGAGGTTGCCCTTGCCCAGGATCAATTATATATGCACAAACAAACCAACTTTTTGAGTTGATACAACCGTAACGACTGTCATTTGAGAGGTTTCCTCTCTTTGCTGCAGCTTGAATGTGCAGTTTCCTGACGTCAGGACAGTGTTCAAATCTGGATCAGTTTTTATCAGATCCGTTGCAGCCCCTTTTTTAGAGATTTGGGTATGGAGGAAAATAGAGAGGGTTGTGTTTTCTGACACTTGGTGAGTTCCCTGGAACACCGGGGACACATATTCATGTATAAAAGACGTACAAAAGTGCATTTAGCATGATAGGTCCCCTTTAAGCACTTTATTTGCACATTTTCCAAAGTCTGCGGTTATACATTTGCTTAAATGCAACCCCTCTTTTACGTTAAATTGGTAGAGGTCTACTTTATATTTAAAAATCAATGTGAAAATTAACAGAGAAAGTTATTGAATTGTACTTTTACATTTTCTTAAACTAGACCTCTTTGAATTGTAACTGAACAACCCTGACACTTAAAGGTAGGGTAGGTAAGAATGGAGAAACCAGCTTGAGTGCGCTAGAATTGTTAGTTGAAACAATGCAGAGGGCGCGGTCAAGTATGCAAAGTTGCTTTTATTTGTAACTCCAAAAATCAGGAAACTGAAAGCATTAAATGTGGGAAACTGTTCATAGATTAAATCATACATTATAGCATGGAGATTTTGAGTGATGCACCTTTGTTGGAAAATAGCCAAAATCACGCTTCAAATGGCACAGACTAATGTTAATAATTAGCCATCAGGTATCATTAGCAGGCTTTTCATTATAGCTGATGTAGCAAATTCATGTTCATTTTGTAACAGCTGCTACTGTTTCATTTATTGTTTAATGCAGAGCTGCAGGAATGAGTCTTAAAACCCAGGAATGAGTCAGCGTTTTAGCACTTTTAGCATCATAGCCGGTTCCCTCTACTCAAATTCAATTGGGTTTTTAGATCAGTTTTGTCTCTGGTTAACACAAGCTTAAGTAATATCAACATTTTTATTCTACCACAGTCAAAACCCCTAAGGTAAATGTCTGAAGCTTCCTTTTGTCTCAATTGCTGACAAGTGGCTGAATACTAAACGTCATCACAGCAAACATTCGCCACTGTTAGCTTAGTGGTGGTGACGTGAACTAATGTTATGTAGTTTGTTTATAGCCTATTGTTACATTTTTTATTTGCATTTACGCTTGTAAAATGATAAAAGCAGTGTTGAAATGATGAGGAGTCTATATCCAACGGAATAAACACTACTGAATATCTGCCAAAGATTAATGTGAGTGAGATGACAAGAGATAAGATAAGATAGGATAGGATTGTATTCATCCCGAAGAAAATTGTTGTGCCAGAGTAACAAAAATACAATAAACACAGCAGCACAATAATAATAAAACTGTACACTAACAGTGCAGTAAAAAGAGCAATTCAATAACTACAGGAAACATAGACGGTCACATAATTAATGTAAATATTAACACTATTTAGTATTCAGTAGTGCAAAAACCGTCACATCACTTGCGGGCAGAATCTGTGTTTTTGGAGATGGTGAATGTAGCTTTTGTGAACAGCTGAGCTGATCATGAAATGTTAAATACAGGGTAGTCAAAGATTACAACCAGAGAAAAAGGACCTACACATAATAGTCAAAATGTAGGAATTCAATGAAAAGGACAACCCTAACCCTAAAATAAATACCCCTTTGCTAGGAAGAACCCAACAATTGTCCAATTATCTTTTGACTAATCGCCAAAACTCCATTACATTCAGTTGTGTATTCCTGGCAATAAATATGTATTCTTACATCAAAACCGTCTCTCCTGATTGAATTATTATTATTGTTGTATGTTTTGTTTCTGACATGTTCAATAAATTGACTAATACAATAATTATATATTAGGGTGGTCCTTAAAATTGAAAGTGGGAAAGTCTAAGCTCCAACCCCCAGAATTCATTCTATTAGTCAAGAAGACTCTCCTGGTGAATGTTTTCCTCAATCTGATAACATGTACCCCTCCCTCATCGACCTGGAAGGTTAGCCTCAGTGGCAGCACCGTGGCTGCTGGTGTGGCAGCCCAGGTCGATGAGGGAGGGATACATGTTGTCAGATTGAGGAAAACATTCACCAGGAGAGTCTTCTTGACTAATAGAATGAATTCTGGGGGTTGGAGCTTAGACTTTCCCACTTTCAATTTTAAGGACCACCCTACTGAGGCTAAACTTCAAGGTTGATGAACGCGACCACTGCTCCAGTCCCAAGAACTGCTGGGAGAAAAACTGACTATCAGAGATGTAACGTTATCTTTGATAATATTTCGTCTCCTCCTTTTTCGTCAACGAAAGCAAAGAGAGATTTTGGCATAGTTTTTATTTATTATACTACATTTTCGTCTCGTCACTTTTCGTCAACGATATTGCATGTTGATTTCGTTACAGTTATTGTTTACTGCCGTCGATGCCGTCTCGTCATCGTCTCGTTTTAGTCATGGGAAAAAAGGTCGTTGATGAACATATTTCGTCATAGTTTTAGTCAACGAAATTAACACTACATGGCACTAAGGACCACCCTAATATATATATATATATATATATGTGTAATGCTTCTTACCTCAGAGCCGCAGCCTCTCATGATGTGTTCAGGAATCTCATAAATCTGATTTTCCATCTCCACCTCTTGCTTGCCGTTAGCCATAACTTTGACTAGGAGCACCCGGAAGTTCGATCCTCCGAGATCAAGAGCCAGGAATTCACCTTGCTCTTCAAACAAAACAAGAAAAACAAAACACAAAACAATAAACACACAGAATCCACATTTTTATCGGAGTTCCTTGTTTATAAAAGGTTTAGAAAGCGGGTTTTTTTTTTTTGTGGATTAGTGGAGCTACGCGAAACGCTCGACAGGAATGTGTAATGCATGAATAGTAGTACTGCAATTAACTTTTTTTCTAAATTACGAACACTGTTTTCTGGACTTAATAATAAATGATAATGTCTGAGAAAAATCAAGAACATTTATAAAAAAATTAATTAAAAAAAACATAGCAATAGCCCAATGTCTAACCTTAGAAAATGGCATGTAATTGTCATTTTTGCATGATAAAGAACTTAACCCTTATGTTGTGTTCGGGTCTCCCGTGACCCGTTTCAAGTTAAAATGATATAATAACTACACTTTTATCGGAACATGGCTTCATGATATCCTCCACAACAGCTATATAAACACTACAAAACAGATTTTGACATTTTAGCCAAGTCTGAAGGTCTCTTAAAAAAAAAGTGTATAATTTGGTGTTCTGGTCTGGGAAGACCCAGCAGACTTGTTTTGGGTCACTCGGGGTCAAATTTGTCCCAATCAAGATTCATCTTTGACTTTAGACACCCCTCCCCCACCCCCTTCATCCAATGTAACAATAATTTAAAACTTTTTTTGGGGAGATTGTATTCTAATATGAGTCTATTATAGTCAGATAACGTAATGATCCACTGTCTTCACTATAGGGAATATAATGAGTGAATTGAATCACATGTTTTACTTAAATATGTGGTGTAATGTGTTTTGGGGCCATAAAATAAAATTACAACAGGATTGTACGGTTATGAATGCATAATAAGTTAGTTATGATGTAGTTAAAACAATATTGGATGATAGTCATTATTTGAGTGTTTTGGACTGAGATAAATCATGGGTCAAAATGTACCCGCGGACACCATGAACGGTAACAGCTTTCGAACACAACACAAGGGTTAAATGATTAATTGATTTTACAAAAGAAAAGACAATTCATTTTCTGATGATTAACCAATTAGCTCACTGACTTGTTCCATGCTCGTGCTCATGGGAAAAAAGTAATCAAAACAAACCTACTTTGCAATAAATCCATGCACCTGTGCACATTGTAATATAATATATAATACAACAGTAAAACGTTGTATTACAGTTGTGTTGTAATGTAAAAAAAATTGTATTAATCTTGAACTGGTCTCTATGTTCTCTTGGAATACAATCACACTGGACATGTTACATCTATATATTCAGTTTAATATTTAATCTGTCACATACTTATACTATATCTTGTTATTGTTCATTTGTAAATTCAACATGTATATTTTCTACTTTTTTTGTTTATTTCTAGTGTTTTTAATTTGTATTGTACAATGCCATATATTGTATGCTGCTGCAACACAAACATTTCCCAAATTGGGATCAATAGTACTATCTTATCTTATCTTATGTTAATTAAATATCGTACAGGTGAATATTATCACACAGAAACAACATTGAAACAATTCTGAACCACGCCTCAGATTGACGCTTTAACATTATATATATATACTAACATTTCCTCTATGAGACGAGTGTTACCTGTTCCATCAGGAGTGGAGCGCACGAACGTGGGCAGCATCTTGACGGCAGCGGTGGGGTTGGTGTCTCGGCTCAGACCTCGGTCCATCTCTCTCCGAAACCTCACTGACAGATCCATCAAAGTCTTATCTGACAGCTGGAAGTGGTGCAGGTATTTGTCCACCTGAAACATTTGAGAGAAGAGGCATTGTTACATTTAGTGAAGGAAATTGAAAACATATTTGGGGGGCAACCTTTGCACCCAAGGTCTAAAATATAGAATATACAGTAGATATTTAAAGGGGGGGGGGGTAGTAATTAGTATATAAAGCTCTTGTTTTTAATGTGACATGAGCCCAGATTAAAATGCATACAGTTATCACCAACAACATGAGTAAATAAAATGCAGAGTGTATTTATTCTTGTGCTTTATCATATCCTGAGCAATATCATATATGTTATGTAAAATAATTAGACATTTTATTTAGCCCGTCCATTTGATCCTGCTGTTTAAAGGTTTATTTATTGATAAGATAAGATAAGATAAGATAGTACTTTATTGATCCCAATTTGGGAAATGTTTGTGTTGCAGCAGCATAAAAGACATGGCATCGTACAATAACAATTAAAAACACTAGAAATAAAGAAAAAAAGTAGAAAATGTACATGTGGAATTTACAAATTAACAATAACAAATTAAACTGTCCATCTGCTGCTGTTTGACTCTTATCTTGTCTTATCTTTTCTTCAGGTGCCAGTTTAACCTGATTAGGCTTCAGTTTAGCTCGTCATTGCTTTTGTATATGTAGTGCATTAGTTTATAGATATACATATAAGTCTGAAAATACTTTTACAAATTTTTTAGCTTGCTTTATTTCAGCCCCAAATTGAACCCTGCTGAGGTTTTGAGCGTTAAAAAGTTACAATGATAGACTTCAAATGTATTTTATCAGCTTTTCCCTCTAGGGCACTTGGCCCCATGGTCTGATTATGTGTCTGAGCAAAACATTGAACACTTCCTTGTTTACCAAAGAACAGAAAACGCATGACCAAATTAAGATATGACATTCAAAACAGGCCGGGTATACAGGCCTGTTTTTCCTGACACAGCGGGAAAGCTAGGGGAACGGAGGGAGTGTAAGAACACTAAATATGGGTCAGACAAAAGCAAATGCAATGTTTTCTTTCCCTTCTTTTATATTTGTAATCCACATATATCCTCAGGATCAGTCAGTACAGTTTAACAGTTTACTACAAGAACAAGAGACCATTTCTTGATTTTCTTAAGCTTTTAATTCAAGAAAGAATTGTTAGAGAAATTCTCATACATAAGGAAGTTATCAATTATACATGGTATAATTTAATACATTTTAATACAACATAATATCATTTAAACCTGTATTTTGTTACAACCCTATTTCTATTTTCTTTTAACTTAAATGCAAAATGTAGATTACTGTTTTACAATGAATCTAAAATGTTTGCCTACTAATCAGTATATATCAATAAATAGCATTTAGACTTCTAAGGCCCATTGAGAGAGGGGATATTAGAAAACTTCCAAACAGAATTTCACAACACAGTGACAGCATGTCAGATGAGTGTCCTTGAGTGACAAGCTACTTTTCCTTTCCTTTATTTGACTTTGCAGTTAAAGGTAGGGTATGTAAGTTTGAGAAACCGGCTCGAGATACACTTTTTGTTATATTCCATGGAATGCTCTTAACATCCCGATAGCAATGAATATCTGAAGTGCTTTGACAAAAAATCCATAAAAAAATGTCATCTGTGGAAGCCGTAATACTGTAAAAAGCACGACCAATCATTTTAGCCGGCCCGGCTAAAATAACTGGATGGCCTACCTGCCTGTCAGCCTTCCATCTGTGCACAAACTTATCTCGTGCCCTCATTGGTCATGTGCGCGTTCGTGTGTGTTGGAGGAGGGGCTCTGTAAGGAAGTGGCAGATTTTCTCCGGTCGTGTATTTTCAAATTCTAACGATCTCGAGCCGGTTTCTCAAACTTACCTACCCTACCTTTAAGTAGCCACAAGAGGGCAAAGGGTAATGGTTGTATGAATAAAAGGACAATTGATGGAACACAGAAAAAACATAATTTCCCCAATCCAAAATGATAGCAATCAGCAGGGCAAATAGGTGAAGGCCATCACTATTCAAAAAGTAGGGAAGGAGTACAGTTGCTTTTGTTATGTTAGTACAACATGGAGGCAATTAGCAGGGCAAATAGGTGAAGGCCATCACTATTCAAAAAGTAGGGAAGGAGTACAGTTGCTTTTGTTATGTTAGTACAAAATGGAGGCAATTAGCAGGGCAAATAGGTGAAGGCCATCATTATTCAAAAAGAATCTGTAGGGAAGGAGTACAGTTGCTTTTGTTATGTTAGTACAAAATGGAGGCAATCAGCAGGGCAAATAGGTGAATGCCATCATTATTCAAAAACAATCTGTCCAGTTGCTTTTGTTATGTTAGTACAAAATGGCCAAGACGCTACATTATACTTCATTTTCAAAACCAATATTGTACTTTTCAATCCACTTCTTTGTTACTTAACAGATTAAGATTGTCAGCTCATACAAAACAATAATAAAAAATGTATATACATTGACATATAATTGTTGGTTACGATATCCATCAGCAGGGTCATAAACACCAGCTAAAGACACATCTTTTTAGCTTTTTGCTAGCAACCCCCCACTTTAAATGTTCTTTTAGTCTCTATTATTTACCTACCTTTATATTGTTTTATTTATTTTATAGGTCTTAATCTTTTTATTTGTATTTTTGTTGTACCTATATGTTCACTTTGTTGTACGGGGTTTTATATTGTTGCATCGACTCAGTTGTCTTGTGTCTTATCTGTCAGAGAGAAACCATTATTTATTTTTATTTTATCATCATACATTTGACCTCCTTAACATGATCAAATGTTATATTTTGCTGCATGTACCTTTTAAAGTTCTTAACAAATAATCTGAGGGGAATTTCTTGTTGTTTGTTTTTATCTTGTGATGTGTCAATTTGTAAAGCACTCTGAGCTGCATGTGTTGTATGAAAAGTGCTAAATAAAGTGTTATGATTAGTATTATAACGACGAACGAGTACTATTCTATTGTAATTGGTAAATGGACTGTACCTGTATAGCGCTTTACCAACCATATATTATTGAATTGCTACTTTGACTTTAGCAAGTGTGAGAACTGCTTCCACCACTGGCTGTTGTTTTATTATTTAGGCGGGCATGTTAGGCATTGCTTTGCAGCCTTTTCTGAGCTCACAGGTGCTCTATGACATTACATTACATTACATGTTACTTATTAGACGCTTTTATCCAAAGCGACTTACATACTCAATACTGTGGGCAATCCCCACAGGAGCAATTTGGGGTGAAGTGTCTTGGCCAGGGACACAACGACATGCTGACTGCAGTGGGGTTTGAACCTGTGCTCCCCTGATCCGAACACCAACGCACAACCCACTGCACCACACGCCGCCTATGACGCTCTATGACGCTCTGTTAGGCCTGAGTTGTACACTAAACATGCTTGAGACAGCAGTGGTGTAAAGTAACCAAGTACATTTCCTCAAGTATTGTATTTAAGTACAATGTTGAGGTACTTGTGCTTTACTTGAATATTTCCATTTGTACTTCTACTTCACTGCAATTCAGAGGAAAATATTGTACCTTTACTTCACTACAGTTGTGTAGGACCTGTAGTTACTTTGCAGAAATAGATTAATGATAAACCATATGATCAACACTTAAATCAGACTTTAGTTACAACTGTATTACATTACCATGCTTCCAAGCAGTACATAAAGTATTTAACGTTTGTTAATGGATCAATAATTATAACCAAAACATATAATATATATTATTCTGAAACGGGCATAATGATTACTTTTACTTTTGGTACTTTAAGTTTGTTTTGATGCTAATACTTTTCTACTTTTACTTGAGTAACATTGTGAATCATGAATGTTACTTGTAACAGAGTATTCCTATACTTTTAATCAAGTACAAGATCTGAGTACTTCTCCCACCCTTGATGCTAGGAGGGGGGCTACCTGATGGACCCCTGTTTTTACTTTCTCACAGTATGAAAACACATTCAGGTGCTGTCAGTATAAATCAAAGTGTCTTACAGCAGGACTCACCTTAAGAGCCTGGTCATCATGTAGCTCTGTACAGTAGTTAGCTAACAGACTCGATGCTAACATCTTCAGTCAGTTTTAAGTCCTGCTGCTTCTCCGACTCGAACAAAGTTGATCCACAAAGCTACTTCCTTATATCATACAAAGAAATAAACAATAATAAATCCCCCTGCTGCTCGTTTTTTTGTCTAAAACGAGTTAATTTATCGCTGAAACGTCAGTTAAAACTCGACTCGTATAAAGAAAGTTCCAACTTCCTGAAGTTGGGAGTTTGGTGACGTCATCACGAATGGATGGCGCTGATTGGCTGCAGAGAAGGCACGGCGTGACCTCGTTTTTTTTACAAAAATATTTTCCGTTGTTATTAATATTTATTGTAAACATTTATTAATTCATTACATTTAATTACACAGTTGCAACATTATACATTAAACATTAAATTCATGGAAAATGTTTTATTATATATAATTCATTGGAGTTGTATGTGCTTATCAAGGAGATATTAAAAACTATTTCACTTTTATTTTTAAATAAACAAGTGATACACAGAACTGGCGAATTGTGTGAATAAAAAGTATATATACTTCACTCATAACGGTATGTTTATAAGGTTTATTTACTTTTTACTTTTGATACTTTAGTTCATTTAGTTGATTTTACATTTGTACTTGCTTTTTTAATTCACAACTTCTATTCTTTTTATATTGTTTAGGTGCTATTCCTTAAATATTACTGTTTTGCAAAAAATGTATTTGTTTTTATTACAGTTTTTATTCCGTGTTGTTATCTTGGGTCCACCAGAGAGTGAGTAGAATGAGGATGTTTGTTAGATGTTGTATTTTCATTGCTTGTAATGGTTCAATTATATTTATGCCTCACGTTCCCTTTGATATTGACATTGACATGTTGGCACAACTGCTACTTCACATAACTGTAATTTATATACTATCATATATATATGTGTGTGTTTTCTGCTGTAAACTATTGTTGAACAGTCTAAATCAGGGGTCTCAAACCCAAGGCCCGGGGGCCAAATCCGGCCCGCGACTTCATTTTATGTGGCCCCGCAAGAGCTTGCAAAGAATATAATACGTTTATTATACGGTTACATGCCACTTTACAGAAGCAGGTTGCCCATCGTTTTGTGACATGCACTGAAGAGACTTGCAATTATTTGCCCTGGACTTCTGCTTTCAGACGTAGTTAATTACTAAGTTATTATCCTATCCGATAATAATCCAATTCAGAGGCAATAAAGTAATATAATACATTATTTTATATATATATTATACATTTATATAGTCCGCAACCCAAAAGTGGGTCGCGGACTCGTTTCGAGTGGGTCGCAGATGTGTGAGTGAAGAAAAAAAATGCCATCATCTCATTAAACCTTTTTTAAAAGCATTCTTTAGTTCTGTGAAGGGATATAAGGGATATATGCACTGTACTTCACTTTAATTAATATTGTATGCTGAAAAGTGTATATTACAGCACGATTTTTTGTTGAATAGATTTGAGTGGTTCAAAATTTCGGGTCGCGATCTATTTACAAAGGAGGCCTGACCAGTTGAGAACCTGATCTAGAACATTCATATTGAGTATTCTTCATGTCCTTTCTACTGTAGTTAGACTTTCTGCTGTTTATTGTTTTTATTTTATTTTATTCCATTTTATTTTACTCTCTGTATACGTTTCCACCTTTAAAGATGTGAGGATGTAATGCCTAAACACACTGCTGCTGGTTCAATTGTCTTTACTTAAGGAACAGGTCAGCAAAAACGTGTTAAACTTGTCTGTCTGTGCACTTTCATTTGCACTTGAAGGTCTGTAAGCCCTCTTGATGGAATGAACAGTGGCCCAGGTATCAGATGAAACATTATGTATAGCCATGATCCTTAAAGCTATGTCTAGTGAGAGATGGGCTGGCATGTGACCACAGGGTATCTGACTTCAATGGATCAAAGGGTAAGATGTAGAATACAAAATACATCTTTATTCTCCACTCTAATAGCATTACTTTACTAAAAGGTCTGAGTGCTTCTTCTATCTCTGCTACATATTTATAAAAACAACACACATTTAAAAACAAAATCACCGTAATTAGGTGTGCCAGGCAATTTAATGTACTTTGAATATTGATAAGACAATAATAAGGACTCCTCAGTATATGTGCAGAGTGAATAGGACAGAGGACCATCCTCACTGACGCTTGTTAAGCCTATCAAGATTTCCACTTGTATGAGTTTATTTTTATCTGTAGAAACTTAGCACAAAGATAATACATAATTCGATTTGTAATATGACAAGGATAGCAGGATAATTGGTTGTTGTTTTATAAGAAAGGTTAAGCAACAAAATGCAATGAGAGTCCCATTCTGCTACATAACGAAAACAGTCTGCATGAAGAAGCAGCTCTTCAGTGAAAGGATCATACGGGGTGGTTTCATCCTTTTCCTTTGGGTTCTTCACAGGTACCTTTTCTGATGAAGAACACTTTCAAAAGTACATCTTCGCAATACCAAAGTCCACAAACTCACATTAAACAAACATAAGGTCTTAAACATAATAAATCATGTGAATGTGTATAACAAATATTTGAATCTGTGATAACTGTAAGCTACATAGATAATCTATACGTGTTTGAAAATGGATGACTCACTGACGTATTTGCTGTGTTGGTTTAAAACTTTTTTAATTAATTGAATGCATAATGTACATCATTAAATCTGAAAGAGTGCACATTTCATCTTACCTGGAAAATGCAGCACTTTTTGTCATTTGAATATAATATTATTTCCTAATTGATGACTGAGATAAAAAAAGGAATACATTGAGATCAACTCTAAGTCCATAAAATGTACATTTGAATTCAATTTATCAGAATACCTTTATTTGTCCCACAGAGGGGAAATGTACTATTATGTTTTAAACAGCCGCATACAGAGAATATCTTTTTTAGGTGTTAAAAGTAAATCATCTGAAGACAACAAATGTTGATTTGAAACATCCTGCATATAAGACAGAAATACAAATAATAACGTGCTCCTGTAGTTTTCTTTCTTCACATGAATTTTGCCCCTCACCCCATATACTTTTCACAGCTTTCTTTACATGTTCCTGCTGCTCCCTTAAGTGGGTATATACTGTAAAAAGGACATTATAGAGAAGCATTTAGATGAAACAATGCATCTAATTGCTGTTAACAGCCCTGCTGAGTGTCATGATGCATGCAGTGTTTGATTTATCACCAAGGCAGCATGAGAAGATAATCAAACACAATGTCTCTTATGTGATTGCTATATAAAATCCAACACCTGTAAACTGTTTTCATGGCATAAACAGTTAGAGATAAGCTAAAAAAAACACGATGGATAATTGCAGTCTTTAAACTTAACCGCTGCAACAGTTAAGAAGGCCCAGCAGCGACTGGTGTCCTTCTACCGGGCGACCATCGAGAGCGTGCTGTCATACTCCATCTCGGGGTGGTATGCTGGCTGTTCAGCTGCGGACAAGAAAGCCCTGCAGAGAGTGATTAGGATGGCAGAGAAAACCGTCGGCTGCCCCCTGCCCTCTCTGGAACACATCTCCACCTCCCGCTGCCTCAGCAGAGCAAACAAAATAATAAAGGACAGCTCTCACCCAGGTCACAGACTGTTCTCTCTCCTGCCTTCTGGGAGGAGATACAGGAGCTTCAAGTCACGGACAAACAGACTCAAAAACAGATTCCACCCCTGGGCTGTCAGGCTGCTTAACCACCACACTTAATGCAATAACCGTAACCATTCTCACACATACACACACTTTTAATGCACTTTATATACTATTTTTATATCAACATTTTTAACTATTTATTCCCCCTGTATGATTGCTTATGTTGTCTGTCCTACTGCGGTGTTTTTAATGTTATGTATGTCTTTTTTGCACACTGGGACAGAGTTGCACTCTGAATCTCATTGTACTTTTTGTATAATGACAATAAAAGGCTTTTACTTAACTTAAAGACGTGTCCATCCATGCACTCATTTGTATTCATAAAGTATAAATAAAACAAAGAAGCATGCCTTAGTGATGCATTAAACATGTGATTGTGAATCAAATAAAACCAGAGGAACCACAAACACACCAAACAGTTATCAAACTAAAAAACAGTAAATACAAAAAAATCACATAAATAATAATCATTTCATTTGTAGGAACTAAGTCCGTGTCACTTCGTTTCATATGATTATCTTTCATAAACCAGCAAACCATCTTTTTTAGATTTGTATATTTTCATTACTTAAAGTGGACCTATCATGCTATATTTGAATAATATAGTGTAGGGCCATACCTATATAAGGCATATTTATACTTTTTTCAAAATACCAAACAGATCATGCATTTTAGCCATGCCTCATTTCGCTCAATTTGACAATTTATAGCTCTGTTTGTGCAGGGGCAGATTCAGTGAGCAACAGCACCATCTACAGGCCTGGCATATGTACTACAGCGTCTCCAGCGCTTTCGAACGGCAATGGCCGTGGCTGTCTCCTCCTGATTGGTGGAGTTGGCCCAATAGCCGTAGCGCCACTGTCCTGACGTCAGGACAGTGTTCAAATCTGGATCAGTTTTTATCAGATCCGTTGCAGCCCCTTTTTTAGAGATTTGGGTATGGAGGAAAATAGAGAGGGTTGTGTTTTCTGACACTTGGTGAGTTCCCTGGAACACCGGGGACACATATTCATGTATAAAAGACGTACAAAAGTGCATTTTGCATGATAGGTCCCCTTTAATGAACAAATGGCAAAAGACACTTGATAAAGGTATGAGATGATGATAGAGGCCTTTAATGCCCTCTCAGAGCCTATATTGATAAGACTATAGAGGGCTTCATGAGGGCTTTCCTAGATCGATTAACAAACCATGTCCCTCAACAACGGTAGTTAGATCTATCAAAACTAGCCGATACACGCCATCCTCCAAATGGACAACTTCTATCTACCGCAGGGCAAGAGACATTCTGCAAAGATATTTTCTTTTCATAATGTCCTACTAAAATCACTTCCCCTGTTGTACAGTGCAGTGCAAATTCACTTCACACATTAATAGTCTCTCGTTGGTTAAAATACAGGTTTAGAAAAATTTGCATTTATCACATTTTGGCTAATATTTGATGGAAAAAAACCTAGGAAGTTGTGACACAGTAAAGTGCTACCAAACAACCTCTCTTGTTGGGAGAGTGGAGGATTCACCTTCAGGAATGAGTGGTAGTTTTAGCATTATTGA